CATTTTATTATAGTTATGGAACTATATAGCAAAGGCAGAGATCCATGAAGAAATATTAGGTTAGTAGCTAGATGATGATAATATTCATCAAATAACCTTACAAAAAAAGTAATCTCTGTTTCAAAAGGCGATTCTGTATCTCAGTCAAATTTGGGTGTGTGAAATTAGTTATGTGCCTCCTTGGATCTAATAAAAGTGCTTATTATTAACCTCATGAACTTCCAAATTATCAGGGATATCCATCTGAAGATGTCCTCCTTAGTTATGAAGACATTCTACTATCATTCATACAAGGAAACACCTTTTCGTATGTGGCTATGGAATGTGTGCCTTAGGTAGAGAGAGCTGGGTCCCACTGTCCTAAAATTTGGGAAATTAGTAAAAACATTTTTTTTGTCAAACTTGTAGCTGTTAACTTATCTGCTTAATTACTGATTTCAAATGGATTTTAATTTGTTTTAGCTTATATTTTGTACATTTACAGTTGCAAGCTGTAAATAGATCAAAGCTATCATATAGATAGGAAGGTGTGATATAAAGCCAATAAATAAATAACAACAACAATAAATGTCTGAGCCCTAGGCAATTTTTGAAAAGTATAAATCTTGATCTTGTTTGGTTTGGTTTATTTTAATATCCACACTGATCTTGTACCACTGCTAAGAGTAACAAAGAAAACCATTAGATGTCAAGCTAAATGTGGTCTGAAGAATCTCCCTACCTCAGTGTTTCTCAGTCTTGACTATTTTACACTATGTGGTCTTCGACACCCAAAATTCCTCAGGCAGCTTGCCTTCTGGCTAAGAGAATTTTGGGAGTTTTAAGTCCACACCTTCTAACGTTGCTAGGGTTGCAAAACACTGCTCTCATTGGTCTGAAACCTCCTTCTAGCGTTGCCAAAGGGAGGCTTCTTTCAGGCTAGGAATCTTCATCAGCAGAAGAATGTGGTATGGTTATCACATACCACTCTTGGGAGATAGCAATCATTTTGAAGAAAGCTTTTTTATTACTATCAAACCCAGCCAAGCACATAGAAGGGTGCATCTAGGTAGTCATTTGTGATATGCAAGAATGTGTTGGGTGCATGTTTTATATGTGTGAAATTGTTTCTGCATATATTTAAACAGACAGATGTTCCTATATAAATGTATGTGTATGTTACAAGAATAAGAATGGGTATGCCGACGAATAAATGTGAAGAATGATATTTTAAGTCTGAAAGTTGATGAATATGTATAACTGACTGGACTCACTTCATCTTGTCTTGTTTACTTTTCTAGGGCCCTGACCATTGTGGCTACATGGTCTACTCTAACCATGTTCAGGGCTCACCAGGTAGATACTGACTCATTTCTCAGGCTTTTTTCCTTTAAAAAAGTGTTTATGTGTATATTATTGTAAGACATGGGTTTTCCACAGCCTTATTTGTAGATAGTGATTTTTGTAGCATTTAGAGAGTTTGTGTGATTTTTGTTAGTTGCTTCCCCTATGTTGTATCAGGAGCCTCCAGGAACAAAGATGATCCATTACACTTTCTCTTTCTCCTACTCTTTAAGTTATCACACGCATGAATAACAGCACATAAGCAACACTTTTAGTATATGGTATTTCAGAAATACTACTTGTAGTGCTTTTTGTATAGAAGATATATGGATATATGTATTTCTATATATAGAAAATCTAATTAACATAATTAGTTTCATATTGTTATTGCTGGAGTTATTTGTGTTATTGGCCAATTATCATTATGCCTAATATGATGTCCTTCAGCTGAGTTTGGACTAGATTTCATTAACTCTTTTCTAGCCGTCTTGCTTGGAATTCTGAGAATTGTGTAATACATATGGAGGACATTAGATGCAGGAGTTTGCTGTATTCAAATAGTCAATATAGATTTGTAAATTCAATCTTATTATAAGTAACACTGTCACCTTGCATTAACCTGAATGCCAAGAGAAACAAGAAGACCTGAAATATTAGTTGTTCTTACACACTTATTTTAAACAGTTCCTACACTGCAAACTATTCTGTCTTCCTGCCCAGTTGGGAACACTTGTATATATAAAAATAAATTAAAAGAATTTTCTCAATATGGGATGAGATCTATATGCAGAACAGAAAATAAATATTTGGAGATTATTCTATCTGGATTATGCCTTTCATGTAAGCAAATAATAAATGTATGCAAAATGGAAAAAATCTGACAAAGAACTGAACTGAACTGTATATGAACTGAAATGAATATGTATACTACTATTTGTTATTCAAACTGATTGCAGTCATTTAATAACCTTTTCACCAATATTATTATAGAAGTGGGGGCAGAGGGATTGCTTTATTCTGTAGAATCCTTCATTTCTGAATAATAGAGCTGAAATATAAATCAGTGTCTTGCTGTTTCATAATTTGTACATTTTATCAGTACAATAAACTCTTGATCTGCATTCTATTATTGACACAAATTTATTCCAATCTGATCCTCTCCAGATGTATTTAGACATTATGTACATCCCAACTGGAAATTCCAGCAATCAAACTTCTAATTTATCTGGAGTTTTTCCATGGTGGATGCAGATGCATTATTAGACAAACTTTTAACTGTTATGCTTTATGCTTTAATACCATTGTTGTCAATAATCCCATTAGCTATCTATACATGAAGACAGAAAAAGGGAACTCTTTTATAGTTATGCAGTATTTAGAAAGCTTTTAGAATGCAAATCATGGGTGAATTAGTTTTGGGTTGATGAAGACCACAACTTCATCCATTCACATTCAACTTTTTTTTTTTTCTCAGCAGGAAGAAACTTTACATTTTCTCTACAAGCACAACCATCACTAACTTTATCTCAACCTTCCAATACTTGAGAATTTGCATACGGGAACTGCATCAGAAGAATAAAGTTAGGGGGGACTATAGGAACATCTTATGATCTTGCTAATGCTATCATTTATGCATCTTGAGGATTGTGGAACGTTACCATTAATATTCTTGAATTAGTGCCATTTGAGTATTACAGACTTCTGTGTGGATGTGGACTTTTGGGAAATCAAGTCAGAACAATACAGGGGTACATTAGACATCTCATTTAGGCTCCTTCATAAATCAATAAAGATGTCTATTTTAAAAATATAGACCAAGTATATACAGCATACATTACTAATAATAAAGCAAATATTGTACATTATCTTCCAATGTTTCTTGTTTAAAGTATAGGGCATGCAATGTTCTACATAGGCAATAAATAAAAATGAAAGCTATATACCTTCTTTTCCCACCGAGTCAACAACAGCATTGACAAGGTGTATTACAGTCACTAGGGAAGCTTGTAAAAAGTATGGAAGGAGTAAATTAAAAAAAAAAACAACCTATGATTAGCAACCATTTCAAATAGCACATAACATTATCAACATGAATTAATGTAAGACTTATATTTTTATAAAAATTACATGCAATGTAAAATTTAAAACACTCGTACAAAACATACACCTTCCCACCGCAGATTAGCACTAGCATTGTTTCATTTTGATTATACAGAGACATTCAATTGAATTACAGTCTCTAGTAGAATGAAAACATTTTTAACCTGCAAATATCAACAATCAATCCTATCTACATGAATGGCTTAGAAAGGTTACCAAAACTAAAAATGGATTGCAAAGAGAAACATGCACATAATTTTAACAATCATTTATACTCATTCACTCTTCTTTTCATACTGGTATATAGATTGTCAAATAAAAATGCAATATAGCGATTATATAAGTTGCACACATGAATAGTGTGTGCAAACAGAAGTGGGTTCAAGCCTTTCACTATTGCACTAATCTTTTGGGAGAAAAGCATTAATTTACCAGGATATGGATCATCATCAAATTCGTACACTGCACCTGGATTCAATTTGTTTTGAATTATGTCTGAATTAGGTCACTATCAAGTTGCAGGGAATATCTTTAGATTTACTGATAGAAGAAAGTGGGTATTTAAAAAGTGTGAAGAATGCCAGTCAGAGTGATTAACCCCAAATAGATTCTGTTTCATGACTATGTGTATCCCCTGTGGCTTGCCACCTGCATATCTGCAAGCAATCATTTATTAGGAAAATAAATACAATGCAGTACATAATCCATCTTTTGTGCAGGCAGGATGTAGAGAAACAGGTTTTCTAGCAAGTTTTTTGTGAAGGTTGTGGTGATACCTGGAAAACTGACAGGTAAAAAGGCAGTGGTAGGGATAGGAAGAAAGGACAGGGGAAGACTATTTTACAAAATCTTGAAAAGCACAGGGACAAGGCAGTCTATGGGTTTTTCTCCCCACAAAATAAAATTGAGGTTCCTTTTAATAAGTTAAGGCAGGAGTTTTATAGGAACTAGTTAAAAATAAACAGAAGCAATGCCCGGAAGACAATTAGGATTAGGATTAGTGGAAATAGAGGTGGAAAAAGGAAGCATAAAGTGGAACAGTATTTCAGAGAGATTTAATTACATTTCTGAATTGTGCTTTTAAATTTGCTTTTGCATTTTATTTTGTTAGCTGTCCCAAGCATCCTTAATTAGGTGTAAAGTAGAATACAAAATGAGATGAAGTTGACAATATTGAAAAAGGAAGTGTTACTAGAATAGGGCGTAAGAAAACAAATCACAGCTTAAAAGTCAAACTAGAGGGTGGGAGAAGGTTTGATTTAAGTAGCCAAATTGCTGGCTCTATTTCTTTGCTTCTTCTTAATTATTATCTCTGCAGGCTGCATCATGCTTATAGCACATAATACTTTCAGCTGCAGCCTGCAATTATGATATTTGTCATTGCTATTCTTCTCTTATCATGCTGTATTATATTAACTTATTTGGAAACAGCATTCAGATTTACAGAACAAAGAACCATTTCTAGTGTTGATAAAAAACAGGAAAAACATTTTGAAACTTCTGGAACTTGACAAAAGTAGTTTTATTATCTACTAAGAAACACATACACACACACACACACACACACACACACACACACGCTTTCATGAAAAGCCATAAATCAATAAAATTTACTTTTTAAAAAAGTAATAAAAGGAAGTTTTAATATGTAACATTTTATCATAAAAATGTGTTTTGTTATACTAATTAAAATTTACAAAAATATTTTAAAAGTAGCAAACTTTGTGGTAATTAAAAGGAAAAAATACTTAGGGCTAAGTCAAATTAAAAAAACAGATTTTCTGGGTATATTTGATGGGTCATGCAACTTTCAGAATGTTTTCATTTTCCCATTAAGATTACAGTGTGATTCTGTTAAGTGGAATATTTTTAATGCACAAAGAGCACATTATGCCATGATAAAGACTAAAGAGATATTTAGCCCTTATCATGGCATAAAGCAAACATTTATAATAAAGCCCCTGGGGACAACTTCCTTCATTACTTATGTAATCAGACTTACAAGCAAATCCCTTATACTCTGCTTTCGCTCAGTACTGCTCTGATCCATATGGGAGCTGAGGCAGCAGCAGCAGCAGCAAGGGAGAAAAAAGGAAACAAACAAAGCTGTAACCCAATTTTAGACGTTTATAGCCTAACATTAGCACCAAACAGCTAATGTTTATACTTCCACAGGATTATTTTGCAAAAGAACTATTTAGTTGTAATCAATTACCTATCAAACGAGGATATATTAACTGATTTAACAACTTTACTGAGCCCATTTATATTATGTGGAACATGTACATTCCTATAGAATATTATGATATTGATTATGCAAGTATAAAACAGATTATCTGGTGATGAAAGTTAAGGAGAGGACAGGCTTCCTCCACTTGGTGTCCTTTTGATGGTGTTGCACAAATCCGAAAAAGGAAAAGTTGTAATTCTACATGTCTGAAGCGCCCCAAGCTGAAGAAAACTAAGATGCAGCAATGACCAATAAGGATCTGTTGTGTACCTACCATTGTCATCACATGATTCTGACTGGAATGAGCTGAGGGACTGGACCTCGGACATACTTTCCCGAGCACTGTAAGGCTGAGACTCCTTTTCTTCCAGAGGCTTCTTTGGCAGGCAGGAATCAAGATCCACAACTTTAGCTAAGATAGGGGAAACCCCCCCCCCCCACACAAAATTAAGGATCATCGGAATGGAATCAGTCTACCTCATAAAACAGCACAAAAAATATAAAAGGAGTAGGAAAGATATGTACTAATTTTATTAGGTGTGCCTTTTTGTAAATCTCATGTAGGCTTAATGAAAGGGATGGGAGCAGACATTAGCTGGTATAAACAATATGTTCCCACATTGTGCTGGAAATGTTAGTGACTGGGTAATTTTTCATGGCATACATTCCCTAAATTCCTAAGTCCACTGTTAAAAGATGCATATTATAAAACAATTAAGTGGCTTGAGCAGTCAACGTTTTTCATTTCTCCTCACTCCAACTTTTCATTGTTTTGGGTGTTTGCAATGGTAAAGTAACTCTTGTTTGAACATATTGAAATTAGGAAAGTAGCATGTTCCTTTATGCTCTACAAAAGCCAGTAGTACAAACAGGATTTTCTGTCTTTAATGTTCCATGTAATCAAGATGTTTCCTCTCTAATTAGAAATTTTCTTATTTCTATGTCTCAAAAACTGTGGAATCTCACAAATCTGTATAAATCATTCTGCATGGAAGTGGAGAAAAGAGCAAATGCTGCATTACTTTTTTCAGAAGTGCAAACACATCTACTGTTTGAGTTTCCAGGGCCTTTCTGACTGTACAGAAAACAATTCTCTAATTTTGGATGATCACATTTCACTGGCATTCAATTAAGCATCAGAGAGAATAATTTACTACATAAATGATAAAAAAGTGACTTGTTACTTGATGTTTAGCTTACACTCTAAATTGTCCCCAGTCACTTTATTCCTAGTCTATGATTGATAATGTTATTGCAAGACACATGTCTCAACATCTATCAGCAAATCTTTTTTAATAGAAAGAAAAGGAACACTTACTGTCATAATCAAAGTCCCAGCTGGGTTTCTGTATTGAGTCACTGTCTGATGGAGAATTGGATGGAGGAGGTGGTGGCAAATTAGGAGCTACACTGCAAACAGCCACTGTTTTTCTATGACCATGTACAGAGTCAGGGTTAAAAGTAGTAAACTCTGGATGTTCTGGAATAGTGGAACCTTCAAAAGAATTTCTGTCCAAGTTGTTTCTAGAGTCACTTGGAATGCTTGGAGTATATGAAATGGGGCGTACAGGCACCTGAGGTGGAATGTCAGAATAAATGTTCTTATTCAGTTTGGAATCAAAGTATGGTCTTTGCAAGAAAGCTGTTGTGGTTCCCAGATGTTTGTCTTCTGGTTGTGGCTGGCTTTTCCTCTTTTTTCTGATCATTCGGCGACAGAAAACGAAAACCCCAACTAGGACTAAGATAGTTGCTATGAAAATGATTATTCCAATTACTTCAGCTAAGCCAATGTTCCAGGAAGTTGAAACATATTTATTAAGGACCTCAACACAATGTTTTCCTCCAAATCCATGACTACAGTTACAGTTATAAGCACCATATGTATTCTCACACAGAGCGCCATTCAGACATGGGTTTTCTATGCATTCATCAACATCAGTTAGGCACCTACAAAACATTAAAAGACATCAGTTTGTGAATACCAACAGCGTATTATCCAAGTTACACACTCACAGTTTATAGATGCTAAGATTCTTATCATACAAACTGTAGTGGGCTGTAATCTGAACGCCTCCTGGGAACAAAAAATAAGTTCTCTTTTTTAGGTCAACCACAGCAAACTAGAACCTGGTAATCCTATTGCATCCAACCACTTTGCTTAAGTTACTCTTCCATTCTGATCCATTTTCCCAATTGGTTTGTGGTCATCCAAACAAGCAAGTGGAAGATAAGGCTCTTCTACTTTGCTTTCTGCAATCTGGGGACCATTGCTTGGAATATCTGAGTGTGTCAAAAGTCGCTCTTGGGAAAAATAATTTCAGGATTACTGCACTTCATTGACAAAATAAAAAAGTGAATGCATATATAAGTGGAAGGGAAGATTGCACTATGGATAGGAGAAAAGGCTGCCTTTTAGTTCTCCTTACAGCAGAATGGGATTTTTCCAAATAACAGTTCTATATATAAAACCATTGCTGATGAAATTATATGCTGAGGCAGTCCAACCATGAGAACTTTAAGACTTATGGATTTCAACTGCCAGAATTCCCCAGCCAGTCATTCTTGGAGTTGAAGTCCACACGTCTTAAAGTTCCCATAGCTGGACACTCCTGTTCGATGGTCAAACAGCTGAGCACAATTAAACACTTTCTTGCCATGGTTGGTGAAGATGAAGAAGTCCCTAACCTAATCAACAACTTTTCTAGACAGATAGACAGACAAAAATCCCCCCCCCTTTTTTTACAGATATTATTGCCATGAAGAAAATTCTAAAACTAGTGCTAAAATTTGGTGTGGCAAACTTTCCTATGTTTCTCACCACTTCCTGTTTTTGCAAAGAGGTGTCTTAGGGTGCACATTTGCTATAATCCAGTGATAAGCAAAAAAGTAATTTTTTTTTAATGCCAATGTTTGTGGCAAGCTCCCTTTGGCAAATGAGGTTCTGCTGTGCTGTTGCACACAGCACACATATCCCGGGCCTTTGCCCAGCGCCTGGATACAAGGCCATCAGCAGGAAGAAGACAATAGCAAAGGTCAGCTGGGGGCAGGCAGCAGGGATTTATCATAAAGTACAAAGCAGCCAAAAAGGTGGAGATATTGGGAGAGTGGAAAATAAGCAGGTGGTAGGAACCGAAGCACACCTATGGTCATAATTGTGGGCAGGTTGCCAAATGTCTGAATTTTTATCACCAGACCCTGGTGATGCTGCAATGCAACTTCAGAAACCAATTATACTTCTAGTCATACTCCTTCCATCTTTTCTAGCATTAAAGTCATACTCCTTCCATCTTTTCCAGCATTAAAGTTTTCTCCAGAGAGCTAGGTCTTCACATAATCTGTCTGAAGTAGGATAATTTTGGATCCTGGACATTTATACTTCTAGTGAAAACTCTGTGTTGATTTGTTCAAGATCTATTTGTATATTTTCTTGGCTGTCCATTGTATTCTCAGGAGTCTTCTCCAATACCAAAATTCAAAAGCTTCAATATTCAATATCCTGCTTCTTCAATCTTCAACTTTCACTTCCACAGAGTATCACAGGAAAATTTTATGGCCTGCACTATTCTGATCTGTGTACATACTTTGTACATACCATCATGGCATCTGAATATCTTTCTAAGACTTTCATCAATGCTCTACCAGGTTCTAGTCTGGTGTATTTCTTGACTGTGTGCAATTTTGCCCATTACCACTGTAACTGAGCCATCTACCTTGCTTGGCCACAAAAGGCAGAAACTATGACTTAGATATATTAATTATGAATCCTAAGGCTTATGTTGTATCCATTGTCATTAGTTTTATCTTCTTTATATTTAATTTTTTCAATATGCACCTTGGCTTTCATTACTAGAAGCTGCTGTTATCTATGTCAGTGGTGGTGAACCTAAGGCACGCGTGCCAGAGGTGGCACTAGGAGCCCTCTCTGTGGGCACACATGCCGTTGCCCCAGCCTTGCCTCCCCCATGACCTTCTCCTCACCAGCAGCCCCCCTGGAGGAGAGTCACCCCCGAGCGTGGCCCACGCGAAGCAGCACAGCCAAGGACATGGCAGCCAGGCAATGTAGATAAGACTCTGCTCTCATGCCCCATCATGCACAGTTGATGCTGAGGGGGGTGGGCAGAGGGTGTGGCTGCCATGGCCCTACTGGGCTGCCTGGGTGATCTGCGGTGGGCCCTGGAGGCGGTGAGTGGCCAGGCAGGCAGGGCGAGGGATGGAGTGGGGGCGGAGCAGGGGTACAATGGGGTTGGGGCCAGTTTTTGGGCACTTGGACTCTAAAAGGGTCGCCATCACTGATCTATGTCATCAACATAGTATATTTTACTGATGTTTCTTCCTCCAATTTTAAAACCATGCTCATCTTACATTAGATTAGTATTAGGCTATTTTACAATACATAGTCAATTAATATGACATAGCAAGCTTCATTCCCCCCCCCCCAAAATCCTAATTTACTATCCCCAAAATACTGTTGCTTTATGCAATTCAAGCAATTTGCTGGCTTATGCTGTAAACAGTTCTATTTGTACTTTATAGGCTATGTTTTCTAAACAAGAACATGGAGTTCTTCTCTTTGATTTATTCCCAGAAGCCTACCTCAACACCACAGCAAACAAATTATACTTAGTAGTATCCATGGTTTGCTAGCTGCACAGAAAGCCAGTGGGGATGACTGTTTGCTGATAAACTAAAATTTAGACAAGTCCTTATCTCGTGTGTCAAATGAACATAGATAGAAATACAAGTTATCTTTGATCATAATGTTCTGTATTCAGAGACCATTCCAGGACCATCTTCATGGCTGAATTTATGTTTCAGCCTCTTATGATAGAACTAAGCTTTAAAAATGGATAGGTAACGTTCTAGGCTACTACCCCCCCCCCCCCCGGTAAGAATTTTTATTCTACATGCTATGTAAACTAGAGCAATTAAAACTGTTAATTGTACAAAAGTTACCTACCTCTCACCATGAAAACCAGTCTCACATTCACAAACAGGGCCATCTAAGCTATCAATACATTTGCCATTATTCTTACAGGGGTTGTCTTTGCAATATGGACCAATCTGACACCTAGGGGAAAAAAAGATAAGTCAATTACCTCCTAAATCAATCATTCAAATCTGATGAGCTATGAATGTACCCTTGCCAACTTCAGCGTATCAAGCCAGAAAAGTTATTTTGTGTACTAAACAGCATGAGTCACAATATGATTCCTGGATTATTAACATTTGCCTTGAACATAAACAGATATCATAGATTTCAACTGCTTGTTTTTACAATTCTTGCAGGGCAAACCTTGATTTTCCAATAAATGTGCATTCCATCCAATCCACAGCATGTTTTGACTCTCCACAAGAATGACTGAACGAGACATATGTTTATATGCACAAGCTTGTCCTCATTTGTACCTTACTTCTTCAAGCATACATGAAAACCTTCTTCTGTTTCAAACAAAATAAATGGATGCAATGCTCACACAGACCATTTTCTCAAAGTACACTTGCAAGCAGAGAATATTATAGAGGCAATACTGTCAAGATAAACACACTGGGATGAAATTTATTTCAACGCTTAGAAAAAGGCATCCTACCTTTGACCTGTGTATAGCCCTCTGCACTGGCAGATGAATTCATCATTGATGGAAATACAAGTGCCACCATAAAGGCAGGGATTGGAAGCACATGGGTTGATATTTACTTCACAGTGTGTACCCATAAATGCAGCTGCACACTTACAATAATAACCTGCAATGAAAGCCAAGAATGAAAGCATGTAACTGTGCTCACAAAACTAAATGCATTTTTTTTCTGCACAGAAAAGACAATCAATGGAACTTTTCTGAAACCAAAATTTAGATAAATCAGCACAAAAGCATTACAGATATGCATCACGCCTAAAAAGATGTAAAGAACCAGTTAATAAAGCTTAATAATATCTTACTATGGGATAAGTAACTGTAAATATGATAGCCATTTCAGAAATGATTACAGTATCCTAATCAAAAGAATATAATAAATCTCATTCCTTTTAAAAGGCTGACGGTGTATGAAACTTTAAATGTTGGAATACAATAAATAGAGTCCAGATAGCTTTATCTAACTAGCATTTTGAAAACCAGACACAGCAGTATTGCTCCACCAGGGCATTTAACATTTAGGTTAATTGAACTGAATGGCATCTGTAATATGCAAGGTTTTTTTAAAATGTTAAAATAAAAGACCTTCTCGGCCTTTTGGCTAAGATCAGGTGTAGTGTGTGCATCTTCACTTGCTCTGGGGAAAATCTGGTTTTAGACTATCACTTGGAAAGTATTCCAAACAGCTAATACAAAGTTGCAGTGAGATAAAGTGGTCTTATATAGCATTACATTTGCAATCATAGAAAATAAAGCCATGCTAAATACCAATAATAAACAAACAAACAAATCTTACCTCCAGTGGGGAGTGGATTACAAATGCCTCCATTCTGGCATGGACTGCTTGAACAATCCTCCATAGTTGCCAGTAAACATCCAGGAGATACATCCACAGATTCTTCCATTTGAGCATAACTCCGAGGTTTGTTATTCAGGGGCAATTCTTGACCATTGAGTATAATGGAATCCATACAGCCTCTGAAACCATTGCTAACCTGTGGGCTCCTTCCATGTCTCATACTCTGCTGTCGAATGTGACCACCAAAAAATACATGGTTATCTAAATTCAGTGTCCTGAGAGTACCAGGGGCAATACCAGAGGCAGTGTGCACCCTATCTAGAATCAGTTTAGCATAGTTTCCATCCACTTCAAGAGACACTGAATGCCACTGGCCATCACTAATTTGAATGCTCTGCACAGACACAATTCCAGGACCGCTTCCACAGTCAAATTTGTATTGAAGTTTCCCATGGTGAATCTAAAAGAAAGAAGAAAGGTAACAATTAACTATGAAGACATTTCATAGGCTCCACTTACAAGAATGTCAAATGTGAACAACCTTCTCTGACATATTGCCTGAAATCTTTAAGAACTGCAACTCTAGATTTTTGAATTCAGTACTAGATATCCCAACCTCTAAGAGGGTATCAAACTGTGGTTATATTATACAATCATAGTTCATCTAACATCACTGAAATTCACCCATTCTTTGTTAACGACCACTCATTCATTGACTATTCAAAATTCAACAGTGTTGAATTAGAGATATTACGATCAATCCTCAAAGTTTCAGTTGTCCCAGCAACATGATTGCAATTTGGCAACTGGCTTGCACTTAAAATAGTTGCATGGTCACATATTTGCCATTTGCAACCTTTCCTATCAGCTTCCTACAAGCAAAGTCAGGGGAAGCAGGCAAGGAAGGTCATAAGTTGCTTGTGAATTGTAAATTCCCCATGCCCAGCAGCATCCACTCCAAGCTTTGCTCTGCTTGTGCCATGCTGGACCTCATGTACCATTTCATAATCCACAGCAGCCACCCCAAATCTTGTTGTGCATGGGCTGCATTGGATATTTGTTTACCCTCCTTTCTCCAACAGAAATCACCCCGAGCCTCACTGTCCTTGTGCCATACCAGACCTTATACCCCTCATCTGCCTCACAGTAGTCATTCTAAGCCTTACTGTGCTCACACTTGCCCACCTGGTAGCAGCCATCACAAGCCTTGATGTACTTGCATATCAAACCCTGCCCCACCCATAGCAACCTCTTACATGCCTGCTAGCCTGTTTGAAAGCACCTGAGTTGCTACTGATTTTGGTTGTTGGAAACTGGCAGAAAGTTGTAGCAGGTCTTTGCTTAATGACTTGTAAACCTCACTTAATGACAGCAATGGGGACTGCCAGGATTGCTGTTATTAACTGTTATTTATTTATTTATTTATTTATTTATTTATGAGACTTATATACCGCTTTAAGTGCAAGCACTCTCTAAGCGGTGTACACCAGTAAGCAATGTATATGTATATTTACATTGCCCCCAACAATCTGGGTCCTCATTTTACCTACCTCGGAAGGATGGAAGGCTGAGTCAACCTTGAGCCGGTGAGATTTGAACCGCTGACCTGCTGAACAATCAGCTAAAGTGGCCTGCAGTACTGCACTCTAACTGCTGCGCCACCGTTATGGTCACAGCATGTCATGGTTTCTGACTGCCTCACTTAGTGATGGAAATTCCAGTCACAATTACCATTGTTAACTAAGAAATACTGTAATTCATATCTAATTTTTCATGCAAGAGGATTTTTTAATGATTTATAAACTTTGCAAGATAATTATAGTGCTTTATTTCTTACATTAAAATGACAACAATTAAGTAGAATGAGGTCTGAATATTTACACATATAAGCTTAAAGATCTAATTGGAATTATTAATGCCATTTAAAATTCCTAATCATTGCTGGTCAATTCTCAGTAATTCTGAATCTTTCAGTTTCCCCTTCTCTTTATCGATTGTATTTATTTTTTCATCATGCTTCTTACCTATATTATAGAGTATTATGAATACTTTTGCTCAAAAAGGTTATTAACTTGGAAGATTAAAATGCATTATTCTAAAAGTCATTAAATATTTAGCTAAACATCTAAAGCATTTTACTTAATAACGTAGGGTGTTCACCTGATGATTAAATTAAAGGAATCCAGTAAGTGAGTATAAGTCTGCAGCAGCTTATATCTAGAGAAAATTCAGAATGAAATTCAGAAGCTTTTTGTTAATTAAAAGATTTTAAAATTTGGAGCCACATACCTCTAAAATACTGTAATCAGTTCCTCGGGCATACATGACAACTGCATGAGTAGAATAGGTTCTGAGCCTCATCGTCAGTTTCATTTCCTCTTTGTTTTCATTTTCTATGAGGCGATACTTCACATAACTGCTTCCAGTAAAAGTCACTGCTTGTGCAGCTGAAACTTAAAAGAAAGACCACAAACCAGAATTTAAAACTGCAGATCGTCTATCTGAATTAGACAAAGAGGATTAAGTGATAAAACCTTACCAGGGCACTGGGTGGCAGTGCTTCCATCACAAACACAAGTGTACTTCTCTTCCTGAAGGTCAGCTAAGCATTCAGTACCTTCAGGGCATGGATTTCTTTCACAAATACTGTTCATGAGCGGGCATCTTCCATCTGGGAAACACATAACAGAGCACGGCTTTAGTTTTATTCCTGCCTCTCCTCTCAGTAATTCTGCAAGCAGGAGCACCTAAACCTCTGATCCTAATTTTGCTCAGGCACAACAGGTGATGAAAATGATAACTGTCAGAAAGCAGGAGGAAGGAAAATATGACAGCCACCCAGCAAGCAATCATTCCATCATTCAGTTGTAAATTACTATCAGATCAAATTCTGCTGTGAAAATTACTCACCTGAGATTGCACTCTTTTTTTTTTCTCTCTCTCTACAGAATTCATAAATTATGTTATCTAGGTAAACTATGCACAGTTTATCATTTTCAAATCCTTTGGAGCTGTCAGGCAGAATCTTTTAGGAATTGCAATTCTCCAGTCACACCAAGAATGTATGTTTTCTTAAATGCCCACACTGAATATCCTTAGGGATAGAACTGCTAGCCATCAAGATATGGATAGGAAAAAATGAAGCTCTTAAATGTTTGAGAGACCTCTCATAATAGCCCCCTCCCCATCCTCCAAATTTTTATTAGACGTTACAGCCAGCATGACTTGGGAAAAAGCTACTTACAATAGTGAGGTCAAAAGCATGATTTCTTCACTCTACTACAGTTTTACATTTTGCTCAGTATAAGGCTATACTTATAACTGTGCCTGTTAAATAAGGATGGAGTCAATGTTTGTATTTTATACAAAGAATATTTCTTGTACTTCAGTTATTGCTTTTCTGCTTAAGAGCTTAGAAAGTTAATTTTGTACCTTAGACTATAGATAGTTCTTACCTTTACAAAGGCAGACTGCACTTCTATGGTGATGTGGTGTGACAAAACTCAGTCTAGCCGTGCTGTGAGTTGACATAATTTTCTCATCCACCATCACTTTTTCATTACAAAATTTCCAAGGGCAATCCAAACCCAAGCAGAGTTTGTGAAAAACTTTAAGGATTTGGACACCTGAGATCTCTTCAAGATCAGGCACAGAGGAATTTATTTTGTGGAGCAAGGCTCTGGTTGAATGCTGAGAACTAGCAGCCTTTTCAACAAACAGCAGTACATCAAGATTTGATGGATGATCGGAAGGTTGCAAGCTGATTATATGAATATCATTTCTTCTAACTCCCAAGGAAGTCCTTAAAGCTCTTTGAAAATTGCGCCAATAATCACCAATGAATTCCTCTGGGGCAAGGTTTCCAAACTGAAAAGTTATGCTGTGATTCAGCAATTCTTGTGTGACCTGTTTGATATGTACTTCAATGACAGCTGCAGTGGTAAACTTCCCATCTGTAACAGTAACATTCAGGGGGTATTGTCCTACATCTAACCTTTTGTGAGCAATCAGTTTCCCCCCAGTGCTAGAAACACTGAACAGAGATTCCATCTGGGGATCCAGTTTGTATGTTAGAGTGTCATAAACATCTTGGTCTGTTGCATGCACTTTTCCAATGACACCACCACCATATTCTTCTCCAAAGATTGTGATGAAGATTTCTAAGGGCAGGATTGCAGGAGGGTGGATACTTTCCTCAATGACTTTAATGTCAATATAACTCATAGAAGACAACTGAGGCCTTCCACTGTCAGCCACCTAGAATAAACGATGAATTTGTACTCAATCAACTCACTTTTAACTTAAAGCATTGTAAGATATATGATACAGGTAATTTTTACAAACATTAAAGGACTAATGAAGACTATATAAAATTGAACTTGAGAGAAGCATTACCAAGGAGAGGCAAATATCTATCAAACTTACCCAGTTCAATTTGCTTTCAGTATCTCAACTATGATGAAGAACCATTCAATGTACATAGGAAACATTCAAAACTTCTAAATAAATGCCTAGGCAGCAACATATGATAATTAACTGGTAGCTCTCTGGAGGAAATGGAACACTGTAAGGATTTCTAATTCCTAGTTTTTTAAAGAATAATAACAATTATAAGAATAAATGGGATACTGTTTCAAATTAAACTCATTACTAGCAAGTTTCTAAGATGACAATGCGTAAAAGAGAAGCTCATTTTAAATACATAATCCAGGATACTACTTTTGAGTTTTGTAAGTGGCATTTTCGAGTCTACAAAACAAAACAATTCATTTAAATCTGAAGTCACGGCTCATTTTTGAGCCTAGCAGGCATCTGAGCTTCCATTATCATCAGAGTTCACTTTGTGCTGCTAGAAGATCTGACAATAAAGACCTCCCTATTACAAGGTTTCGCCAATACCTACTTATAAAAGCTTCTCTGATACAGTTGAAACAACTTAATTGCCTCCTCAAAACTGTTTTTCATATAGTTTAATTAATTTAATTTGAAATCAGCGGGTAAAATGGTATAAAACACTCATTATAAACCTTTATGGGAAAGGCAGACTCTTTAAATATGTGAAACATTTATACATGATTGAAAAAAACCCTTTGGAATCACAAAATTCAGAATGTTCTCTAAGGCACTAAAAATGATCAAGGATGCAATATTAATCACAAACAGCAGGTGGCATTTGGACTACTATAATTACAAAGCAACCTTTTACAATTCCTTAAATATACTATTACGTATTTCATCAGAATCAGAAACCATTTATTTTGGTATCATGTAGGAATTTCTTCTTTGGAATCAGGCTTGAAAGGGAATGGGAAGTTCTTCCCATGTTATGATGCTATTTATGTACAAATTCCACTGATCTGGGAAAAGCACATTTTGGATAATGTTGTAATATTATTTTCTTCATTAATATGCCTAGACTGAATTATTGATAATTTTTTTATGTCACCCATTGCCCTTGGGTAAGGTGACTCTATTGCTGTTCTGGAGTAATTTGACAGTTTTGTGGAAGTAAATCTTCCATAAAAAGTTTCACAAGGCTTCAGATGTAACCCTGGCAAAGCTTGTGAATTCTGGAAGAAACATACAGTGAGTGGTGACTCTTGTCTTTTCTCACTTCTGAATTTTCATAATAATTTTAAATGAAGTTTCTATGCAGAACAGAAATGGACCATTAATCTATCAGTGGTTTTATATATATAAAAAGGCAAAAGTTTCCCCCGTCTGGTAATGCCTGACTCTAGGGACCAATGCTCATCTCTGCTTCTTAGCCAAGAGAACTAGTATTGTCTGAAGACTCTTCCATAGTTATATGGTCGGCATAACTACACGCTGAGGTGCACAGAACACTGTTACCTTCCCCCTCAAATGTTATCTATTTATTACCTGCATTTGCATGCTTTTGAACTGCTAGGGAGCTCACCAGACACTGGTGCTTGGGTCTCAAACTGTTAACCTTCTGATTGACAAGCACAGCATCTTAATCCATTATTAGAATGGGATGGCCACTTCATCCCACTCTAGTAAAACAGCAGTAAAGATGCAGCAGTCTCAGTCTAAACTGAATTAACGATTGACCATACAGCAGCACATACTAATCCTTTCACAGCCCAGCTATTTCAACATATTTCAAAAACGTATTACAGCATTTCATACCTTAATATGGAGCACGTAATGATCCTTCACTTTGCGCTGTAGTTGAATACCAGTTGTAAGTACAGCATGTTGGTTGATCTTAAAAGCATTAAGTTCATTTCCACTCAGAATTGTGAAAAGAAATGGTGGACCATTATGGGAGGAGTCTTTGTCTGTGACCACCAGCTGCTGAATGTTATATCCAATTGGCTTATTTTCCTATAAAAGTGGGAAGAAATCTTCTTACACAGGTCCTCACAGGATGTTTTATATGGATGCGTTAATATAGTTACAAAGCTACTTTTAACTACAAAGATGTGACATGACAATGGAACAAAAAGTTTTGAGTTCAAAACAATTGTTTCAGATTGAATGGGATATTTCAACCTTTCTCAAACTGTTAAAAATTATAAGGTGAGACAGATACTTTAAATTTAGGATACCTCTTTAAAACTCAACATGGGTCATGTGGATTTCAAAATGTTTCAAATTTAAATTATTTTTTTGCACATTCCTTAGGAGTGCTTTGTCTTCTTTTTTGGCTTTGTACAATGGAAGAAAACATGATCAGCCCGACTTCATTTTTTCACCACATGTAAAGCACTAAGCACAATGATCCAGCTCAACCAGTTGTTCCATTTCAAAGGAGGTTGCTGCAAACATGCTACTTTTACACATATTACTGTATCTTTTCTAGATCATTGAAAGTATTAAAATATAAGAATATAAAATATAAAAATGTGTAAGAACCAGTAACCATAATGAATCCCCCCTCCCTATTACTGAAAATGGTTAGGCGAGGTACTCCCATAATTTTCAATTCAATCTCTTCAATTAATGGACTAAATCTAATAATACTATAATATTTCTGGAGTATACTAAAAACATGTTAAAATCCTTTCAAACAGATAAAACTGCTTTATATATAACATATGACTATGATGGTGAATAGTTTTGTCTTAAGAAATTATTAGCTAAAATGTAAGTTTCTGCAACTTAACAATCTATTGGGCCTTTTTCAAATGGAATTCAAGTTTCCTAGCTCCTTCTTTCCCTTAATATAATCCCACCTAATTGACATATTTACTGACTATTACCCAATGCAACATAACCTTCAACTTGGAAGAACAAAAAAATACTGTTTATTGCTTCTAAAAGACTTCTAATTCTTTGTTCTTATTTTTCTGAAATGACCACTGCCGAAGTAGGATGCTAGATTAGATGAAATGTGTTTAGCTGTTAGGGCAATCCTAACATACAAAAGTCTCAGCAACAAAACATCTAGGATTATTTCCTGTCTGTGTCACAACCCTCAGTGAAATAAATCCTTTAATCTCTCTGTCACTTTACTTCCCATGTAGTTAAAAGAGAGCTAAGCTTACTGTTTCCTATCCTTTGTTTGGTTCATGTATTCTATGATGCAACCCAACTAGGCCTCCAACCATCAATTCTTGTCTGACAATCAACATGCCAAAAGTTAATCTTAGCTAGTAAATTCTGTAACAGTAAAATTAAAGATTCAGATAGGACCTATTTAATTAATAATGAGTACTAATACTATTTTTGAGATCATACAAATAAATGCACTATTACTGCAAAGCAAGCACCTGAGAATGAAGACTTTTAGTTATAAGTAAAGGGGAATGAGAATATTTTTCATATCTTAATTAAACTGCCCCCTATTCAGCTTTATTGTATATTTGTAAGAGGATAAGTTTGATATTGCTAATTTAAGCCTGTTAAAACCTTGTTTTCTTATTCAACAGAACAAAACTATTAGTTGTATCCCCTTTTTTTGTTTTGTTGAAAGATTTGGATTTATTTTTAAAAGAAATTTGTCAATTACTATCAGTAAACATTACTATTATCCTTTGCTCACTTTTTGAGTATTGCAAATTCAAACATTAAAACCAACTTTCAGATGATTTTGTACAATTTATTTCTTGTATAGTTGCTCTCTACCTAAGAATATCAACAAAGGTTTATTAACAAACAACTTTTGAGTATGAACAAGTAAATCAATTAACATTTACCATCATTTTATTTGTTAATTACTGATTTCCAGTGACTTACTGAATCAAAAAAATAAGTTCATTGACCTATTATAGTTCCTTTTCCCCTTTCAATTATGCTTACTTTGTTTCTTTCTGTAGAGAGCAAAAAAAGACCTGCATTTCTCATGTTGGCAAAACTAAATTTGTGAGATTCTATCCTCTCCAACGAATAAGAAAGAACAGTTTCCATTTGCAAGATAAACTTAAATAAATTATCAACCTCAACTTAGTAACATAATTAGAAATATCAATAAAAATCAAAGGATTCTCCCCTTTAGTCCTATAGAATTTTTGAAGGAAATGAAAACAGCAACGTGCCAATATGGATCTCCTTAAAAAAATCAGGATAAGGACTTAGCTTAAGGAATCAGGGAAGGAAATTCTTAATTTGTTGGCATTAACACAGACCCTTTATTTAATCAACTCCCAAAATCCATACACATTCAAAAGATATCATTATCGAAACTCAGACTCTGGAATTGATCTAGTCTCACTGAGAATTTATATAAATGTTTTATAATCTTCTAATGGATGAATTATATTACATTATAAGTAGAAGCTTTCCAAAAGTATAGAAAACAAACAGAATACATCAAATGCTAGAATATAATATCTATGAATTACCTGAATAATAATGCTATAATTCTCCTTTGAAAATAAGGGTGGATTATCATTTATATCAGATACATCAATATTGACTGTAGTTGTGTTACTTCTTGGTGGGTATCCATTGTCTGATGCTTGAACTGTCAAAGTGTAACCTGAAATCTTCAGAGTGAAACACATAGAAAAATATTAACACAATCAAGCTATATTCTTTTGAACTATAAAATATTTGAATCTACGTATTCTCCACCTTTTGCATTAAGAAATTTTGTACAGATAACTTATAAGTGAACAACACAGCATCTGGAGATAAAGAATACATTGTGATTTACACAATGATTTGGATATAAGCCACCTGTCTATTACAGTATCAACTATGTACAACAAACAACATAACTAAAATGTAATCTTGCTCTCTTTCCAAGAAACAATTTTTGCCAATAGGGTCAATTCATATATACTGGTCTGTACTATAAATCAGTTTTAATAATATGCTACAAACTTCCCACCATTAATCTATTTTGATTATTGCAGTGCAATTAACACAAAATCTAGCAGTGATGATGCTAATTTGTACAAGCTACAGCTGCTTGCATTAAAGCATACGAATGGCAATCAGTTTACCAGGCACAATTTCAACTTCATGGATTAACAATTAAATCTCTAAATTGCTTTCGGATTAACTATCTGAAAGACCATCTTTACTGTTATAAAGTAGCCTAGTCATTACAATTAACAGGAAAAGCCTTTAGAAAATATTCTCTATTTAATAGGTCCCTCTATCTGGCATGTCAGAAAAAGTCTTTTCTATTTCTCTCTCCCTCTCTTTCTTTCTCTCTCTCCACCTAACTACCTACCTATTTTATTATTTTGATTATAATAATAAAATCTAATACAAACAGACTTAAAGGGAATATAAAGGAATAAAAAGCACAAGGAAAAATGAAAAAAGAAGAAAAATCATATAATAAAGAAAAATAAATATATAATATAAAGAAGTGACTTCAAACTTTTATCACAACACATTCTTAACCCCTTCTAAGGTTAGGACAGTGGTTCTCAACCTGTGGGTCGGGACCCCATTTGGGGTCGAACGACCATTTCACAGGGGTTGCCAAACAAGGCTGTCCGCCATTTTTCTCCCCTTTTCTTTGGCCACGCCCCTGGCACCCGGTGATGTATAAGTGGTTGGGGGTCACCACAACATGGGGAACTGTATTATGGGGTCGCGGCATTAGAAAGGTTGAGAACCACTGGGTTAGGAGCATTTATCTCTTCATCTTATATGCCATCTCTTATCTACAGAACAAAACAAAACAAAACGAAAGAAAACAATCTTTTCAGTACTGGTGCCAGCAGAAAATCCATAAAATCTTTCTTAGGTTCAGAGAAAATCATTTTATTTAATGAAACAAATTATAGGAACTATGAAATTTATTTAGTTTTTCTAATTTTTTTTATGACAGATTGGAAGCCTTATATGGACATTTTGCTGAAAAAAGAAAAACGGATTGAGGATTTTGAATTTGAAGACTAAGAAATATTAAGACAAAATGAAGGGTTGAAATTACTTGCAAAATACTTAACTAATAAATAATTTCTAGAAATACTGTTAAAATAATTACAACATAATCTTAAAATGTATGATCATACTTTCTCTCTGTCAAGAGGTTTAGCCACTTTAATTTCCCCCAAGGTAGTATCAATTGTGAAAGGATTTCCTTGGTTGCCATCTATAATAGAGTATCGAATGCAATTGTTCAAAGGCCCATCAGCATCAGCTGCAAGAATCTAAAAGACACGTATTTCTCAATTAAAACCAAACCAAGTAGACAGTGATTTTTTTTCAGATTGTTTAACTTTTCGGATAAACATTTTCCAGAGTCATTACTCTTAACTAAACCAATCTGTCTTTAATTATAAATTCAAACATATTGCAGAATTAATATTTAGGGCATTATGGTATTCTGTATCCTTGATTTAAAATAATATTTCAGAAAAATCAGCAAATATAGAACAGTATTAATCTCTCATGCAATGCTGTTTAAGCATAATTTTTGTTCTTCTAAGATGCAAGGAGTATCTCAGAAAAACTGGGGATGGAAGTACATACTGTGATGACTGATTGTTCAACCTCAGCATCTTCACTGATTACTGCTGTATAAGTGTCTTGACTGAATGCTGGAGTATTATCATTGATATCAGTTATGTTTATATTCACTGTTACAACATCACTTAGCGAAGGTGTTCCTCCATCTGTGGCTTCCACCATCAGAAAATGCTCAGGGGAAATTTCATAATCAAGGCTTCCAATAATAAAAATTCCACCTAGAAAAAAGAAAGTGACACTAATAGTTAAAGCAAGTAAAATGACAATTTATAAATTTCAAATTGCTTCGTAAATTATTTCAGATTTAGTAACAAACGTCTCTGCTTTTGTAACATGGGAAAGAGATGAAAATAACCACTCATGAAAATAATCCATGCTTTTATGGCTGATCATGTTTATAATATTTCCAACAGTATTATTTCTATGACACATTTCTGCTAAAAAGCCATCAATCAGTAATAAATAAATGTTAAAAACAGTCAAAACAAGGGTGGGTAATGAACTTCCTTTGGAAGTTGTTGATCTGCAATTCTTCAATTCTGTTACCTCTGTGAATTCTTAAAGACTGGTTTTGTAACAGGATTTGAATCTTTTGCTCCTTGTAATCAAATATATTGCTAATCTCTAAAAGTGTGCATAAGTGTCCACACAATAAGTACAACGGAGGAACTGTGACATGTCACAACATGTTTCCAATTTGTGTACTTGAAGGTATCAGGATTTAAGTATATAATGGCAACATTTGTGTAACTATGTTGTCTATGTGTTGCCATGCTGGCATTACTAAGCTGGATATAAACTGGTGTTGATTATGTACATGCTCCTCTTTTTAAACAGTTGCTTGAAAGCTTTGAGGTAATCTTCTTTTGTTAATTTAAAATGAAATTAACCTAACATAAAATCTTATTTCACACCTCAAAGAAGTTGGTTATAATTCTCTTGTTGCTGGAAATATAACTTGGGAGTTGTGGCTTCTTCAATATATTTTGGGTAAGGAATTCACCAGCCTATTAATATGAGTTTGTAATGATAATTTTTCTGTTTCCTACGCATTTGGTTGGTACAAATAGAATTTATCAACATATCAAGTACTACAGCAGATTATTCAAGCATTGGATGTAGCCCACAGAATAATCATATAAAATTGGAATGATATAGTAATGTGTGATTGGTTTTTTAAGTGTGTGCATTTGTGTGTGTTCCTATATTTGAATTTTTATTTACATACATAGATAAAAAAGTATTTTCAGACAATTTGTCATATTTACTTGTTTAGTTTATAATATATTTTTTCTATTTTTTGTTTCTTACATTAGCAGTCCCCAAACCTTGTGGCTTGGTGGCCAAGCTGGGAGGAGGGGAACTGGGCCACAAGAGTGGGGTGCAGGCGTGTGAGTACTGCAAGAGGTCCCGCCAGCCACTTGAGCGGCCCAATTCTAAATAGGTCACAGCCTGGTAATGGGCTGCAGCCTGGTGGTTGGGGACCCCTGCCCTACATGATGTACTTTATTCTACTTATTCATATTCTAGAAAAATCAGAGTAGCATTTCTTAAAAGTTTTTTTCTCACAACCCTTCCCTTAAAAAAATTATGGAGAACACCAAGTGAGCTTTTGTTTGTATGGGTTATATTAATGAACAGTTTTATGGCTAATTTATGACTATTTACAATCTTTGCAGCATCTCTCAGGCATATGATCACCATTAGAGTCAGTATGCGTTGTCCTGTGCCTGATCTTCTCCTACTTTTTTGGTAGCAGGAAAGTGTCAGGAAAAGGAGGTTGCTTTTCTTTTTCTATCCCCACTCCTTACAAAGTAGAGATACTGGAGAGGAAGCAATTTCAAGACAGTACTGTAAGCTGTTTGTGTAGTGTGCCTCTAGTTCCCAGCCCTGGATTGCTGGCATAAGTGCACTGCTTTCAAAGTGCTCTTTCAGATGGTGGAGAAAAGGGCCAGGGGTTCCTCCTTGCAGAGTGGAGATATAGGAAAAGAAGGGGTTGCAAAAGAGTAAACAGTTTGCATAGTGCACCCATGGCTCCCAGCCCTGGGCTGCCAGAACAATCACGTGTGTACAAGACACTAAGCAGGCATTCAGGTTTTCCAAAGGTGGGGAAAAGGGGTTAGGACGCAAACAAAAGCTGAAGGTGTGGAATTGTCTAGTCTTGTCTCTTTCCAGCATAGTTGCAGTCATGTGATTTTCCACTTCATTTAGCAAACAATTTAAGCATGATAATTTGCTCAAAATTTTTACCCTTAATTTTTCTATCTTGTTCATGTTTTTTTATACAAAGGTTTAAAATGCACACATATATCCAGCCCTCTATGCAATGTTATTGATGCTAGCAATTTTTTCTTATTAGTAATTATATGAACAATTACCTGTTTTTGAATCGATACTGAATTTTCCATGTTCGTTTCCACTCACTATGGAGTACGTGATTTCAGCATTGGCTTCAATATCCCGACTAGCAGCATAGACCTGAAGAATTTCCATCCCAACTATTGCGTTTTCTGAGATGGTTGCACTGTATTCTTTATACTCAAAGACAGGGGGATTGTCATTTATATCCAAAACAGAAACCACCAGAGTAGCAGTAGAAGACAGCTTCCTTGGTGAACCTTCATCTTCAGCTTTCAATATTAAATGATATATTGCTTGTAACTCCCGGTCTAAGGGCTTTTCTAACTTAACAATCCCAGATAATTCATCAATAGAAAACTGCCCATCTACATGTGCTAGCAGGGAATAATGAATCTTCTGATTTAAACCTACAATAATATAAAAAAAACAGCAAATTAAGCTCTAAATAGTATTTCAAATTAATTCCTTTGATTAATGCAGAAAATAATGACAACTGTCACTTTTATTTTACTATAAAGCTTTCTGCTAGTGTCAAATGGCACACGGTACAAAACTTATCCTATTTTTGTTTCTAAATGCATGCATAAGTTCAATACATCCACAGAATTTAGTCTAAATGGATTGATCACCCATGGCTCTAGTTAATTGATATGCCATTGATCCATAACCACAAAACCTACATTTATATTTTTGTAACAATTATATCTTTTGTCTTCTAAGCACTCAGCTGTTCCATAGCCCAGATGCTTTTCCATAGCCCATGGATAACATTCACATAGGCACTGGCTGCCAGCTGGAAGCAGTAGCTAGTAGCAATCCATGCACTGGAACTGTGAGTTGTGATAAGATTATGCTCAGCCACATCTATAAGTTACAGACTGTATCATACAAAAGAAGACTTATGAAATATAATTAACAAACTATTGCATAAATAGTAGAGCTTTCTTTTAGAAATAATTATTCTATAACTCATACCTGCATCTGAATCAGTAGCATGAACTCTTGTCAGCAAAGTGTTCAATTCAGTGTTTTCAAACACTGTGATGGAGTATGTTTCTGCTGTAAACTCTGGAGGGTTATCATTTATATCTTCTATATTCAGAATAATATCAGACTGGCAAAATCTTCCTCCTGCATCTGAAGCCTTTACCATAAGGAAATATACAGATTTTTGCTCACGATCAAGCGTTGCTAATGTTTTCAGTTCACCTACAAAAGAAGCAACAAAAATAAAATGGAAGCAAATGATGTTAAGAACTAAATACATACTTCGAACTGCATTTACAATTTGGTTGACCAGATTAAAGAGATCCTCTGAAGCTTTTCAAAATGACATGTAGTTATTACCATATCAAATACTTTAGTGCCATTCATAAACTGGTTCTCACTGCTTAATTATCAAAACATTTATAATTAAGTTAAGAAACAGAAAGACAAACACAATCTTTGCAGAACTCTACTTTTTACATTGAGAAACCAATCCATTTATCTGCTCTTTGCTTTCAATTTTTATCCAGCTAAGAATTGCTTAAGGCTTTTTGAAAATGCAGGTGTATAAAGTGTGCAGTGTCACCTCCATCCACGTGCCTGATAAAAAAAAAACAGACTAAAAAATTGGCAAAGGATTTCCTTTTATAGAACTAGTTTGATTTTCCAACATGGCAATACTTGTTCCTTTATGCTAAAATAGTTATTTTTTCCTTCTAATTTATGTCTGGAACAGCATAATAAATAATGAATACATTACAGCTTGCAAATCAAATCCATCCAACAGTAATTCTGGAATAAAAGTATCTTAAAACATTAAGAGCTAAAATAATTCACAAATATAAAAAGATATAAGCTGTTCATATTAAACTAATCAAAATACTATCTTAAACTGATGAATTACACTAGTACTGAGCTTACAAGTATTTCAAATCTCTAAAAGGTGGGGCATGTGAATGTGAACATAGCACTTGTCAGCAAAACTTTAAAGCACTGAATTGTTGGTAAGGGCAGCAAATACATGTTAGCTTTGTTTGGCTTTTATGCTAGGCAGATTCTATATTCATGATTTTAGCTTTAGTAGTCTTATCAATGTAATTGACAGACTCAAACTAAGGCTATTTGGAAGAACAGGTAAGGGTTAGTGATTCCAAAATTCACTGTTCCACTCTCCATTGTCAACTTTAGACAGTCTTTGATGGTTAGAAATTGGTAGAAGAATCATGCTCAATAACTGTTGTTCTGCCAAACTAATAAGGAGCTTGTTCATGGTAGCCTTCTCTTGCCTAAACTGTCATAAAACCAACTATGCAAACACCTATCAACAATAAAGAAGGGTTAAGGTTTCACTGAAAGTTTATAACCTCTAAATACTACCTGTGTCTGGACTGAGTCTGAATTCTTCTGCGCCAGCACCATATAATGTATAAGTTATTTCTGCATTGGAACGAATATCTGCATCTGTGGCCATGACTTGCATGATGAATTTGCCTGGTGGGGAATCTTCTGGAACAGTGTCTGTATACAAGGCCTAAAAGCATTTTTAAGATAAATATTAAAACTCTTCAGCTTTCCTCCACTTGGCCCCTTCCTACAAGTCCTATAATATTTAAATAATATGAACAGGAATTATAGAAAGTTTCAACACTTTTTCGGCATCAGCTTGGGGAAGAGTGCTCTTGAAAACAATAGCAAGCTTTGTAGTTTTTATATATTACCTGTTTTTTTAAAAAATATATACATCATTACTCCTTTTTGTGTACTATGCATGTGTCTCAATATTCTGAATAGTTTACAATTAAAAGCTTAAAAAGAATCTGTAAGTGGCTTGATGCCAAATAGATAAACTAAGCTCCCACCCCACTTTAACCCAATAGGGGCTCAGCCATCACTCTGTCCTAAAGTCTGGGATAATAAACAGGTCTTTTAATAGTTTTAAAAATATCATCAGATTAGATCTTATTAATATAAATTAGGGTTAGCAGATATATTGATTAAAAATGTTTGTGGGACTTGAGAATTTTCTCCCTCCAAAGTAATAATTGAGTTTGAGCACAGTATTCTTCTTATCTAGATAGCAGCATGTATCAAAAATCCAGACCAATACCTTTTCACAAACTGGGCTGTTGTCGTTTGAATCAAGGACTTTTACTTCTACCACTGCTTTAGCAGCAAACATCCCATCAGTAGCTGTGATATTTAGAAGGTAATTATCTTTTACTTCTCTGTCCAATGGCTTCTTGACATAAACTTTCCATTCATTCTGTATATTTTCTACAGCAAACTGGTCCAATGGATCACCTCCTAAATAATTAGCAAGATAATATATGATTATGTCATAAAAAAAAGAATATATCCAAGATTTAAAGACTCTAAACATCACATGGGAAGACAATGAATTAATCGCCCAAGATCAAAAATGCTCGACATCCCTTGCTCCCTGATATGCTACATAGCATGGGAGGATCTAATGCTAATAAAAAATGCAATATTTTATGCAGATGAACTGGCACTATGCAAATATATACACAACACATGGAAGTCAATCGTTTAAAGTTATTACAGTAAAACAAGCCCATATTTATTAAAAGAAAATAAAAGATATTATAAATCTTATTACATTTAGTGTATACCTCTACAATTTTAAATAAAAGCTCTAACAGCATACAAGTAGTCCTCAACTTACAACAGTTCATTTATTGATCATTCAAAGTTACAATAGCACTGAAAAAAAATGACTTATGACAGTTTTTCACAGTTACAACCATTGTAGGATCACCATGGTCATATGATCAAAATTTAGATGCTTGACAACTGACGGTTTATGACGGTTGCAGTGTTCTGGAGTCATCTGATCACCTTTGCTGATCTTCTGATACGTAAAGTCAACGGGGAAGCCAGATTCACTTAACAATCGTGTTACTAACTCAACAACTGCAGTGATTCACTTAACAACTGTGGCAAGAAAAATCATAAAGTGGGCAAAATTCACTTAACTGCCTCACTTAACAACAGAAATTTAGGGCTAAATTGTGGTTGTAAGTTGAGGACTACCTGTATTTGAGAAAACATGCAATGCTGCTTCAACAAAAATTATATTCTGGTTCAGCATGTTTTGTATGTAGACACTTGTACCTTTGTGAGAACCTGTATCCAATGCTTTAGACCAGTGTTTTTCAAACTTGGCAAGTTTAATAGATGTGGACTTCAACTCCTAGAATTCCCAGCCAAGTTTGAAAAACACTGCTTTAGACTATTAGGAGTATGAAAGTTTTCCTCAAATAATTGTTATGCATTATTTGATATAACAAATACCTTTTCTATTTTTCCAGGCATTCCAGTCTTTTCTATCTTTTTTTTTTTAAATACTGTTTTATGTTGCATTAATTGCCTAACAGAACTTTAGGATTTTTTTTTAAAAAAAAATCCAGTAAAATCAAGGGTTATTTACATACTGTTAAATAAGCAGGGCAAACAAATATGCAGACTTGTAAGCTGTTACTACTCAAACATTGTTAAAGACTTTAAAGGTTCAACTATTGCCTGCTTTGATCCCTTCTTTATAGTGTATCCAACTGGCAATAATTTTAGATGGGAAAAATACCAGCATTGCTAAATGCAAGCTAGACACATTCCGACTGTAGATAGTTATTTGATAGCTATACTGATTACTAAAGGTATTTCTTTAGTAATGGAACTCTTACAATCAATGCAAGTGATTGTTCCATAATAAAAATGATATGTAATATTTTTGTTGAATAAACAATTGCTAGTTTATTATCAAACAGAGAGATTCGGATTAATGGAAAAATTCAGAACTCCTGAAGTTATCAGACTTTAAAAAAACATGATGGTTTCACATAATGCATCAATAATGCATTACATTATTTTTCTTTTCCACAGCATACTCATATTAAAATCGTAATTTCCTTTTCACTTATAATTTTAACATACTGTACATTTTTCTACTGGCCAGAAACTACTAATATTAAGAAACATTAAGTGCAATGACTTCACAACAGGGATAGGAATAACAATATAGGAATGCCACATTAATTTAATGTTCCACATTTCTTATATCACAATAGCACAAGGTTTTGACCTTATATTTCAAGACCATTGCCATAAAACAGGTTATGGAACAATAAATTTTCCTCCTTCCATGACAGTGAATCTCATAAATAAAAGAAGGATGTCTATTTAAGATGAAAACTATTGTTATACAAAACATATACAGCTAAAGCTATCTAAATATATTTCTAAATATTTACCAGTAATAAAATAGTTGACTTGTCTATTAGAATATTCTGAATCAGCATCCGTAGTGCTTATTATAGCAACTACTCCTCCAACTGGATCATCTTCACTGACTGTTCCTTTATAAATCTCTGCAGTAAAGTGAGGAGGGCTGTCATTCACATCAGCTACATAAACTTTCACAACGGTGGTGGAGGACAACTGCATTTTTTCAGCACGGTCAGATGCCATCGCAATAATTTGGTATTTGTCTTGCTTTTCTTGGTCAAGCTCTCTTAGAGTGGTAATCCAGCCAGTTTCCAGATTTATGCCAAAAGACTCCAGGATTTCAGTATCCTGGGTTGGCTCCAGCTTGTAAGTAATTTGTCCGTTGTTCCCAGAATCCTGGTCCATTGCTTTTACCCGTATGACTTTTGATCCAGCTGGCATATTTTCTACTAAATATACTTCATAAGGATTGGCTTCAAAGATTGGTGCATTATCATTTGTATCTTTGATTTGAATACTTATGTCTACAGAAGAGACAACTTTATAATTTTCATTCATAAAATATGCAAGCACTGAGAACTGGTACCATTTAGTTACCTCATGATCCAGAGTTTTTTCAACTTTTAGCCTTCCATTATGCTTGTCTATCACAAAACAATCATCTTTATTTCTTTCAGGTGTATATCCTTTAACAAGACTATATAACAAGGTATGGGTGTGTTCTGCTCGTATAATATCAATTTCAGTCCCAATAGGAGTATCTTCAGAAAGAATGTAAGAATAAAATGGTTCTGAAAATTTTGGCAAACGTATTTCAGGAGAGAGTATTCTAACATATAGAGGGACACTAGAATCCTTTTGTGGAGATCCACCATCCATTGCTCTAACAAAAAATGTAAGAAACTGATTTTCTAACCCAATTAAGCTTTCTTTTGTGGTTATTACTCCAGTCAAATGATTAATTTCTAAATTCTCCTGAACATGTTCAGAATTTGCTTCAATTGTGTAAGTGATATCTGCATTGGAACCTTCATCAGCATCGGAAGCCAAGACTTTGATAACAGATGTACCTCTTGGAACATCGGATCCAATATTAACTTCATACTCAGTTGCTCGGAACAGAGGAACATTATCATTAACATCGGTAAGTATGACATTGATGCTGCAGAATGCCACTTTTCCCCCAGCATCCTTAGCCATGAACCTAATAAAGATGACCTTTTCAGCTTGAGTTTCACGATCAAGTATTTCCAAAGTAAATATTTGCCCCCTCTCATTAGTATAAAATCTGTCTTTTGCAAATTCATTCATAATATGGTATGTTACAGACCCATAACTGCCAGTATCTTTGTCTGTAGCTTTGACTTCAGTCACCAGGGTATGCAATGGAGCATTTTCAGCTAGTTCCACCTCATATTCATTCTGACTGAACATAGGACTATGCAAATTGGCTCCAATTACATTTATGTGAACCTGAGCTGAACTTCTGAAGACTCCATCAGAGACAGATATATTGAGATGATAAACTGATTTCATAGTCTGTTTATATATGTTTGAAAGAGTGATAATCCCAGTATTGCTATCAATAACAAAATGCATGTTATCATTGCCTGTTAGTATGGAATATTTAAGCTTTTCTGAATCTGAACTGTCTGGATCGGAGGCTTTTACACATGTTACAAAGTGCCCATGGGAAGCCAATTCACTGATATTAGCTTCATAAAGCAGCTGGTTAAATACTGGTGGGTTATCATTCAGGTCTGTTATATCAACAGTTACAACGACGTCACTGCTCAGTGGAGGCATTCCACTGTCTATTGCTTTTATCAACAATGTGTGTTGTCGAGCTTGTTCAAAATCCAAGTTCTTTGCTATCAGAATGAGCCCTGTACTATCTATAACAAAATAATCATTGTTCTTGCTAATGTTGCCTACCAAGTGGTAAGAAACCTTTCTGTTTGCTCCAGAATCAGCATCAGTGGCCCTGACATGTACAACAGATGTTCCAATTACAGATGCCTCAGAAATGGTGGCAGTGTATCTTTGCTCTATGAAGACAGGAGGATTATCATTGATGTCTTCAATTATTATATCCACAAATACTTCAGCATGGGCCCCCGTCAATGAATCAGTAGCCCGGATGCTCAATTTGTAAGCAGGATGGGCCTCAAAATCTAAGGGGGCAATAACATTGAGAACTCCAGTATTGAAGTTGATATTAAATTGATCAAAAGGATCACCATCTGTAATGCTGTAAAAGACTTTCAGTCCTTCTGGACTATATGCTTGCACGTGAACCACTGGACTATGGACTGGGATATTTTCGGGTATCTCTGCACTGTAGAAAGTTTTTTCAAATATGGGCATGGCTTTATTTACCACAGTGATTGGAACTGTTACTTCAGCAAATAAACTTGGTTCTCCTTTATCCTGGGCTACCACAGTAAGACGATACTCTTTGTTTAGTGTTTCTGGATCAAACTGTTTCTTGAGTGTGATTTCACCAGTTTCCCCTATTTGGAATTGGTCACTGTATTCCTTGAAGTAATACTGTATTTCACCATTTCTACCAATATCATGGTCTACAGCAGTGACATAGTGAATCACTTCACCAACTTCAGTATCTATTTTAACAGTGGCATAATATGGAAGATTGACGAAGACAGGGACATTATCATTTATGTCTTCTATAGTGACCTTTACCACAAGGTGTACAATTATGGATGGATTATGTTCTGCAGTCACTTGTACCACAATATCAAATGATTCCTGTTGCTCGCGGTCAAATGGTATTCCAGTGGTTGAAAGAATTCCAGAAGTATAACTGATTTTAAATTGATTATTTGGATTTAGAATCTGATAGAACAAAGGTTCATTTATTTGATTTCCTATAGCAGTAATGACTGCTACTGTTCTCACTTCTGTGGAATTTTCCTGGACCACAGCATTATAGGAACTTCGTGTAAATTTCAGCTGATTTGCCTTGCTCTCTTTTACATTAATTTTGACAGATGTAGTGGTTGAAAATCTGCCATCCGATGCTCTGATTGTCAATTCATACCGGCTTCTTAGCTGAGTTGTATTTTGTACAGTTATCCACCCAGACTTGGAATTGATTGAAAATTTTTCTCCAATATTGCCTTCAGTGATAGAATACATGAGTTGTGAGAAGGCTTCTGAATCTGGATCATTTGCGTTTACTGTAACAACTTTTACTCCTTTATATGTTGGCACTAGAAGAGTTGCTTCATACAGATCTTTAGAGAACACTGGAGGACAATCATTGATGTCAATTACGGAAATGGTAACATTAGCTGCATGTTCTGCAGATAAGCGTGGTATTCCCATATCATATACCTGTACAGAGAAGTGAAAAATATTGGTTTCTTCATAATCCAAGGTCATTACTGTACGAATGGCTCCTGTACTAGAATCAATGGCAAAATATTTGTGGGCAGATGGCTCAACAATCTGATAGACAAGTAACGCATTTGATTCTTTGTCAGCATCTGTAGCTCGAATCACTAATGGCATATTCCTCTCTGTTAGAACCACACTGTTAATCGAAGCAGATTCACTGATGAGTCCTGTGTATTCTGATTGCAAAAAAGTTGGTGCATTATCATTCTCATCTCGAAGATGCACCAGTACAGAGGTGTTAGTGGACTGGCCAGCCATATTGGTTCCCTGAACAATAAGACTATAAAAAGGCAAGGTTTCAAAATCAAGAATCTTCTGAGAGGCGATAACACCAGAATGTGAGTTAATAGTGAAGGCATCATCTATGTTACCCTCTTTTATTTCATAGATTACAGATGACTGGCTATATGCAATAACCATGATGATGAAGCTGCCAATGCTACTGTTTTCACTGATTTCTGCAGAATATTCTTGGGAGGAAAACTTGGGCAATGCATTGTCAGAGATTGTGACTGAAATGTGCACAGCTGTGACTTCATTCATTGGGGGGATCCCTTTATCTGTTGCTTTCACCATCAAAGTGTACTCATCCTGGATCCTGAGATCCAATTCTTTTGCAGTAATAATACTACCCAAGACTGGATCAATATTGAAAGCATTCCTAATATTTCCTGTTTGGGAGAAAGAAAAACAAAAGGACAAAAAATTAAAGATCTGAAAAAAATGAATAATTTATTTACATAAATCTATAGACTGCCAACTGTACTTAACTGAACACGAACTTACTAGATTCAAATAATATAAAGCACAAATGTCCTTTAAATGCCATGGCATTTTATGCTGAAGTAAAACAAAAAGCTTAAACAAATCTTGCATTTAATACCAATAGCAGTTAGACTTATATACTGCTTCACCGCTCTTTTCAAGCAGTTTACAGAGTTGGCATATTGCCCCCAACAATCTAGGTCAGTGATGGTGAACCTTTTAGAGACCGAGTGAGTACCCAAACTGCAGCCCAAAACCCACTTATGTATTGTCGGGTGCTGGGTGAGCATGGCTCATTGTGTGGGCGTGGCCCATTGTGTGAGCGTGGCTGCAGTGGTAATGGCAGACTGGGTGGGACTAAAAAGTTCAATCAATTCCAACTTTGCGAGATCTTTTTTTTCCCTCGAGAAGTTGAAATTGATTGATTGAACCTTTTTTTTTTTTTGCACACGGCGGCGGAGGCCTAAAGCGAAAAGATTTTATAAAACACAGCTGAAGGCCTAGGACTAGTGCGACAGCACACGTGCCCACAGAGAGGGCTCTGCGTCCCACCTGTGGCACGCGTGCCATAGGTTCGCCACTACAGATCTAGGTTCTCACTTTACCGATCTCTGAAGGATGGAAGGCTGAGTCAACCTTGAGCTGGTGAGAATTGAACTGCTGAACTTCTGGCAGTCTGCAGAATTAGCCTGCAATGCTGCATTTTAACCACTGTACCACCAGCTGGTAGCCAGCAAGGAACTGAATTCTGCAGGTGCCTGAAATTTTATGCAGCCAGAAGAAGAAATCAAGTGAGCTATAAGCAATGGGAAGGCCTGCCCCTATGTGCAGAATAGGAATGTAGTGGGCTGCTGATGGATGGAGTCCTCTGACCCTGCTTCTCTAACTCCATAGTAATCTGGAATATTTTGGGAGGAGGAAGGTTAATTTTTGTGTCACATTTTCAAAACTGATTTCTCCATAAATATCCAGCCTGCAAATTGTAGTCAAACGTTCTTTGATCAAGTCTCAATTGAAGCTTAATTAGTAGTTCATTAGCAGTCCTTTTATGTCATTATTTTTAAATCTAAAAACACTTCAGTGGCTTAATTAAAACATTTTTTTTCAGCTAAATTATTCCCAATTAAAATGTATAGACTGGAGGCTCTGTATTAAATTTTTTACTTTGAGAAAATGCAGTTCCATTCTGACTGCTGAATAAAAGCAGGAACAAATAGGCTTTTCTGAATGGCAGAAAATACTCTGGCATTTCACACTGCCTGAGAAATTCCAAAAACTTAAGACAGCAAATATTTTTCCTAATGCTTTAATTACAGAATATAGCAAGCAAAATTTAAATCCACCACTTCATAATGACCGATTTTATTAATTTGTTCAAATTATGTTATGTGGGTAGGCTGTTGATATTAACCTTTTTTTATTACTGAAAGTCATAAACAGAGTGCCATTCTTAGAATATCCCATTTCTAATCCTTTAAGCCATTACAAGCATTTAAGGAATGTTCATTTCATATGCCTAAAATATTTGCCCTAATGCTTTAGCAGTAGAGTTGCTGAATATACCAGAAAAAACAATGTTGAGAAAGTTTTAACATTTCCTCCCACAATGTTCTTTGGATAAATAAGGAAGAAGAATTTGTAAGGAAAGAAGAGAAATATTGGGCGTCAGGGAGCAAATTGGAAACAGACATTTGACCAGATACAGTTTTTATTTCAAAATGCACACAACATGGGATGCTATGTTTCATACATTTTAATTGACAGATTACAACCTAAACTCAAATGTGGGGTTCTAACCGTTGTATTTAAATAAAAGTATATAACCTTCATATAATCTTCTGTGTTGTGAAGGTCTGGTTGGAAATCTACTGCATCAGAGATCATCACTCTGTAAATGGAAAACTGTATGACCCTAGATAGACAGGTCGTTTTCAGAGATGCCTCTTGCTTTATGGAACTTCCTTTTAAAGTAGCTTATTTCATTTCAGCTATATTTCATCATCTTTTGGATCCTAGAAACAGACATTTCTAATCTCCTTCCTGCTTTTAGTGTAGCATATTCCAGATAATATACAGATTTTAATTTTTTTTAACTTCTTCTAAAATAACTGAACCATTACTCAGCTAAATTTAAAACAGGGACAAAACAAAAGTAATTTTAATGGTTAATAATCTGAGGATTTTTCTTCTTGGGGAGGGATGCTATTTTGCTTCATGCTACATAAATAAATCAAACAAAGAAATAAATTCAGTGCAGATCAAATACTGTTGAAAGTAAGCCTTACACTATTTTGAACAATATAGGTCTGGTCACAATTTGCATATTGGAAACTGTAGATATTTTTATACTACTACATTTTAATCTTTAAAACATGATATTGAAAATATTAGAATTTACCTGATTCTATAGAGTATATGATTTCTGCATTTTCCCCTTTATCCTTATCTAATGCTGTAACTTGAACCACCATGGATCCCACAGCTGCTGACTCATACACTTGGCCTTCATAAGAAGCACTGGTGAAATATGGAGCATGATCATTCGTGTCACTAACATTAATGATGATTCTAGCAAAGTTGCGCTTGACAGGAACATCTTGATCTCGTACCTAAAATAATTAATACAGTATTAACAATTAGCATATTATTTTATCAAATCAGCAAAAACTCCATTTTACATGCAATTTTATTCTAAACAAATTCTCAGAACTACTGATCATACATGCTACATCCTACAGAAATGGATTTGCTCAATACAAATAAACAATGCAAGAGAATAAATATTACTACTTTGCCTATTTCTTTTGTGAGGTGGGTGAGTGTTTCTAATATTGCTGCACAATTCACAAGCTTATGATTGGTGTTATAATGGCTTTTTATATAAATCTTAGTTAGATTAGACAAGGAAGAAATAAGAATTAAAATGGGGAAAAGGAGTAATAATAGTTAAGCATTTCTTTCTAATTGGTCCTCTCTTTGAAAGTGAAATTCCTTCCAAACAAGAACAAAATAGAAATGAAGGAACAAAATATTCAACAGCTTGAATGTGGGAAAAGACAGTAACATTAGCTGTCATTAATATTTTATAATATATTGAAAGTTTTTGATCTTTCAAATATGTCATCTCAATAAAGTTTACAAAAGTCTTATAAAGTAGGTCAGTTCTATTATCATCTACATAGCTGCCCAGAATTACTGTAGTGAGTTGACAGGCTTATAATTTGGATATTTCATTTTAAGTATCTTGTGAATTTCGAGATAACAAGTTGCCAAAGGCCAATGTAACTAGTATTACAGAAGAATTAACATTTCAACACACAACTTTTTAATTTACAGCTCAATCTCAGAGTTAAATCTAAGTATGGTTTGGAGAAAGTTAATGAGTGTATTGGAAAAGGAAGGCATTCTAAAAATTAGGGAACGGTGGCTTCCCAGCGTACATACCCCACAAACCTTCCCTAAGCAAAAACAAATAAATGGTTAAGATATGTGCTGTGCATACATGTAAGAGGGTAGCTGACCTGCAGTCATTTCAGTTTCAGTCATTTTATTGTTTTACTGAAAAGCCAAACATTTAATTAATTGTTTGTTTTTCAGATTTGTATCCACATACTCCTGGCAAAGTTTAGTACTTCAGCTGAAGAACAAGCACAAAAATGGTTCTTTACCATGATTGTGAGAACATGTTGATGGATGACTTCATGATCCAACTTTTCAACAGTATAAAGTGAGCCAGTTACAGGATCAAGGCGAAATTTCCTAAGGCTGGTAGGATCCATGCTGCTTTGCATAGTATAAGTTAGCTTATTCTTCTCATCTCTGTCTGAGGCACTGACTTGCAAAATTTCTGTCTCTGGCAAAATGTCTTCTGCTATAACGACTTGGTATTCTAACAGAGAAAATTCTGGTCTGTGATCATTTGTATCTATTACGTTAATGTACACCTGAAATGACATGCAAAAAATAAAACATGGCAATGACATTATAACACAAATATGAAACCCCAGAGGAAATCAAAAAATAATGCTACAAACAAGCTACAGAGGACAATATAAAACAACACATTTTAGAGATGATCAAGTCAGTCTGTTGCAAAAAATTCTCCATTCACTACTTTAGAAGTTTTTAAGATTCTGTGCATAGTCTATGAAATTCTTATTTCGTCTTCTAACAACACAATTATCTTTGAGATGGGCTAGTCTATTTAGAAAATATAACATTCTTGACATGTGTCAGACCTTTTCAGTCATATTTACTATAATATATTATTTACTAAATTTACTAAATGAGCAGAAATTATAGACTACCCCAATCCAATGATTCCAGGTGGAGTTATATAATTCATATAATTATATAATTTAGAGGAGTAGTCTATTTTCATATAAAAGTGAGAATATTTGTATTATTTTACAAATAATACAATATTTTAGAACTAAGAAAAGCAACATATCAAGCTGGTTTGTAAAAGATTACTTAATGTTTATATTGATTGAATGGTCATGCCTGTTATTCTTCATTTACTATTAATAACAATTTTCATATAAGGATAGATCAGAATAAATCCTTATATTATGTGTGCTTGCTTCCTCCAATCTATTATTTATTAACCATCTTTAACACAATAAATATTACTGAATATTTCCTTTTCTATATGTATGCAGCATCAATTGCTATTTCAGTCATTAAGTTAGCATAAAATTACATTATACAATGACAGTTTATAACCATCCAAATATGAACAACCTAGTCTATGAAAAAATATAACACAGAATTATTAACACAAGAATAAAACCTTAACTGCGCTAAAATTTACATGTAAAAATACAAGTAATATGGATACTATGGTATGTAAAGTATAATATAGTGCAGAATACAATAGTGTGGTATAAATATTATGATATAAAAAGCAATGCCAATAGAAACTATAAAGCTAAACAACTGGAAATAAATCAACAAGGATATATCTAATATATTTAACTGCTGTATAATCCAGCAGTTCTAACTGCAATAAAGAAATGAGTTACTTTAGAGAAGTTATGGACGTAATAGAAAAAAAAATCAAACATGTAAAACTGCAATCACTAACTCCTGAAAACTATTTGTGGGCAGCATTTACATGCACTGAAATAAAATCTCCCAACATTTACAAAAATATATTATTTTTGTCAACTAGTAATTGGGACAAATATCTGAGAAAATTAAATGACAGAAATGATCAACAAGGCATATAAGAACTGACAAGAAAGAAGACCAGAGGCAATGGTTTCTATGATATCAAAAAGTGACAATGATCACCTGAGACTCCAGCACTGAGGTCCCCAACCTTTTGGGCACCAGGGACCAGTTTCATGGAGAAAGGTTTTTCCATGGACTGGAGAGTACGTGCAGTGGTGGGATTCAAATATGTGAACAACCAATTCTCTGTGTGGATGCTGCTTCTGGAAGTCCATTCTGGGCCTGGGCAACAAAAAATTAGCTACCAGTTCTGTCGAAGTGGTGCAAACCAGCTGAATCCCACCACTGGGTACATGGTTTTATGTGCTGCCTGCATCCCGCGGATGGGGCTTTGCTGCGGGCCAGTACTGGTCTATGGAACGGGGGTTGGGGACCTCTGCTCTAGCAGCAACAGCACTCTACTCATCAATATTTATGAAATATTCCACAGATGCTGACACCAGTTATATTCCAGGGTTATTTTTTCCCATAAGATCTTTCATGAAATTACTATTTTCTTAAAATTCATACAAAAAACCCCCCCCAAAAAACAAAAAACCCACACATAGGTAGCCCTCAACTTACGATCTCGATTGAACCCAATATTTTCCTTGCTAACCAGAACAGTTAAGTGAATTTTGCCCATTTTACAACTTTTCTTGCCATAGTTGTTAAGTGAATCAGTTGTTAAGATAGTAATATGGTTGTTAAGTGAATCTGGTTTCCCTATTGACTTTGTTTGTAAGAAGGTTGCAAAAGGTGATCACATGACCCGGGACACTGCAACCGTCATAAATATATTCCACTTGCCAAGAGTCTGAATTTTTATCATGTGACCACGGGAATACTGCAACAGGCCTAAGCGTGAAAAACAGTCATAAATCATTTTTTCAGTGCTCTTATAAGTTTGGATGGTCACCAAACGAATGGTTATAAGCAGAGGACCACCTGTATAAATAAATAAAAAAGGTGTCTGTGAGAGGCATGGGGAATGATGAAAACAGCAGTGGAACTTCATGACTTAAGTTTCTCCCTTTTTGCATGTGATCACAATGCGATATTATATGCATGAACAAGTAGGACAGAGCGTGCCCTCCCACAATGCAATGTTGCTTTCATAATTTTGAATAAAACCTGGAATCCTCAGGATACCCCTGGATGAATAATAAAATAATAGATAACATAATAGATATGATATATGATATAATACAAAATCTTACAATAATAACACAACACTTCAAAGCTTTCTTTTAGAATTTTAAAAATTGAATTCTTCAATTAAGAGAAGATTGGCAAAATTGCCAACTTCTCTTTCTCCTCCTGTCAAGGGGAGAAGGAGGGGAGAGGAAAGAAGCTGGTCTTGCTATTTCAAAGTACAAATATGACTGATAATAACTGTCCTTTATTTTTTACTTTCTAATCTCTAAACTGAATTAGTTCTTTAATCATTTCATATGTCACAGTTACGTTTATTCAAATTGCTTTTGTTTCATACAGTTTTCTGGTGCCAAGTTGTATGGAGAATTGTTGTCATGTGGAATCTGTTTAATGTGGTTTCAACAGAGAAGTTATATTCACAGCCATTTTAGCTTGACACCAAAATAAACAGGAGGTCTTTAATCATTGGGATAATTCATACATAAACAACTATTGTTGCTTTATTTCAGGTTTTAATTTAAATAACTCCATATGCACACATAAATATAATACTAGTATATACAATTAAGACACATAAACGGATGGAATTTTTTGTTAGGGAACATCTATTGGCAAGAAACCTAAACTATTATTATTACTTTTAAGACCAGCATTAACCCAGACATCAAAACAAGATTATTTCACTACATAAATGATTATTTTCACTGAATTTCTGTGTATGTATGTACACATTGTAGTATTTTCTTATTACTGGTATTGTACTTTCTTTTCCTATGTGAATTGTAGTTTTGTCTTGTTTCTGGTTTTCACTTGTTCTATTAATGGTAGAACACTGTCTGATTTTAAAACTGACACCAAATGCACTTATATATTTACACATAATCTTCTCCCTTTATGGAACTTTAGAGCTATTGTATTCTATTTGTATATAAAACTCTTTTTTTTTCAAATAAGGTTACTTTACTTTATGTAATTCTGTTCAGGGACGAGAACACACACACACACACACAAAATCTGAGTTTTGCAAATTAGAAATTCCGTTACCTGAGTACTAATAGTCCTAGTTCCATCTGTTGCTTCTACTGTTAAATTGTAATTTGATTTCTGTTCTGCATCAAGAGGTTTAGCGACAACCATTGTTCCTGTGCCCTTGTCCACATCAAAGCGGCTGTCAGGGTTGCCACCTGTTCCAAGAAATTGCACAAGAAGTAAGTTCATATAACCTAGTTTTCTTATAACAAGAATATTCTTTGCTTTAATGTAGGTAGGCAACTATGGCCCCTTTAAGACCTGTGGACTTCCAACTCCATGGCTGTCTCTGGAACTCTGGGAGTTAAAGTTCATAGGTCATAAAAGGGCTATAGTTGGCCTATCCCTGCTCCAATGTTTTAATCAAATTCAAAAAGCAACTTTGAAGTACCCAATTGGTAATTTTACTGGAATAAAATAGGAACAGCCATTTGAAATCTCTATTTCATTCAAAACTATGCATTTTGTGTTAAAAAATAGAACTGATTCATCACGCTAGAATTTTACCGCTACAATTCCTCCAAAGGCTTCTGAGTAAAAACAAAGATAAAGAAGAGACGATTCCAGCCACCTTTTTCTTTTCCTTAAATTAATTCTGACCATGATAGTTTTATTATGAGAGGAATCCACTCTGCAGCAACAATGAAGTGCTGCTGTATTTTAACATTATGATAATCATTAAAACACTTTAACTGGCTGTAAAAAATTTGTTCACCCAATTTTATTGATTCTCAATTTTAGATAAAATATTTCTAAATCAGAAATCATATTGTTTATTACCAAGTCACTAGGGATACCCCCTAAATTATCTTACTTCCATGGTGCATATATTCATTACAATTTTTAAAAAAATATATTTTAAAATAATTTAAAACAAGATGTTGTCATTCTTTCTTGAGCTGTATTTCTTTCACAATTACACTGTACATTTCTTCCAAACATGTATTTAGTTGTAAAGAAGCATGAGAGATTTTAAAGGCATCTAATCTCAAGTATGTTTACAATTACATTCCCTGTAAATAAGACATTTTATTTTAGATGCTGTTTCAGCTTTAAGACAAATAATTCATAATAATGGACAGGATATTTCCTTATTACAAATACTACTGAATTTCTAGATAGCCAAACTCTAAAAGCAGGATAAAGCTTCTAACTGCTGCAAAACACAAACAGGGCTACAGCAGAACATCATATACTTTATCTGAATTGCTTGGGGACACATTGCATTGGAGATTATCAAACAACAGACACAACCATGGCAATTATTGTGAACTAGAAAGCTGTGAACTGATATAAAATATTCTACATCAGAATGTTTTACTGTAGATCTCATAATCTGAGCTGCAATTATGTGATCTCAGCAGATACCTTCTGTTATACAAGCCATGGAAAAGATGTAAAAAACTTAAGCAAATACAGAAAATGTCAATCAATTTGATTCATGCTGGCAATAACAATCAAGAAACTTGCAGTAACTGCAGGATCCCAATCAGTACGTTTTATTATCTAAACAACAGCAGTATTTCATGCAAATAGAAATTTTCACAATTCCCATTTAGCTAGCAACAAGCAGATAGACATAGATCAATTACTCCAACTAGCCCTTCTATAATAACTAGATCTCACAGAGTGCAACCTAAGCATTCTGGCTTGTTCTACTCTTAATAAACAAGTACTAGAAATCGGTGTTTGTTCTTTGTTTATAAGATGTTTAGAGCTTTGGCAAGTGGAAAAAAACCCTCTATAGATATAGAAATTTGTTTCCTTCCTGACAGCAGTCATCAAATAGAAATAATGAAGCATTGAGATGTCTTCCATTCTTGGACAAAAATTATGGGCATAATTTCATATTAACTCGCTATGTTCCCCACCACTTTCTCTTACTTTTTACTACTGAACATGTATCACTAGGTGGTCTTAGAATATTCTGTTAGAAGTATTTGGACTTAAGGCACTTGCGCTTCCCTGCTTCTCTGTCTCTGTCTCTCTCTCTCTCTGTGTAAAAGAGAGCGCACTCACAGTGTTCTCCGAGAAACTGAAAAGCTTATTGGGCGGAGCTCCTCCCTTTGTTGTGTCTCTGCAGGAAGCAGGAGAGAGCTAACTCAGGAATTCTGGGAGTTGAAATCCATGAGTCATAAAAAAGCTGAGGTTGCCTGCTCCTGAGCTTGTTGGAGAACAGCTTGAAGGCAGCTTTCCAGGTGAGCAGCAGATAGGAGAGGGAGGGGGGGAGAGGGAGGGAGAGAGGGAGAGAGAGAGCACGCCTTTTGACATCTAAAATAAAGATAACACTGCATATATCCTTTTTTACCTGTGTGTAGGTGTACACACACACACACACACACACACACACACCTATAATAAAGGTAAAAAAGGATATATGCAGTGTTTTCTTCATTTTAGATATCAAAAGGGTTTTGCGGCTCCTGGTGTTTTGTTTTCGATAGGAAACAGGTCCAAGTGGCTCTTTCAGTGTTTTGGGTTGCCTACCCCTGCTTTAGACTATTTGCTGTTCTTCATTTCAAGATCCATTATGTCTGACTGGGAATCATTGGAGTGCAGAGATAGTTAGAAATAGTTTTGCATCCTTTTCTAGATTGATAGACAATAGCTTTTTACAGAGCTCTTCAGAAATTAAATTTAAGCAGAACATCTGAGGTGTGACAAGTTCATTGTGATGAAGGGAGCCAAAATCTTTGTGATTGGTATAGTCAAATCAGCCCTAATTGTTTAATAATGCATTCAAAATACTGCTTCTAATTATCCTTTTTTACTGAATTGAATCTAGCTATTAAATTAGAGAGTACAGTTATTTTTCATACTGGAACACAGAACGTTGGATTACTAGTATTATTTATGGAAAAACTGAAACAAATATCACATTCTCTTTACTCATTAACAGCATATATTTAATTAAATCCTTCCCAGATTTTTTATTTTGTAGCTACAACACTGAAGAGATGTTAACTATCACCTAATCAAGAAGTCACAGTGAAAAATTCTAAAATACTCTTACCTGTAATATCAAACCAAAGTGGAGTACCCAGTGGTTCTATGCCTATTACACCAATCATGTGAGCTACTGGATCACTTTCCATGACCGTAAAAGAAAAAAATGATTCTTCAAAAGAAATGGGTTCAGAAGATGGAGTGGGTTTTGAGATCCATTCTATATGAAGACGGGCTGTTGATGACTTTTGTGGCCGGCCATTATCCACAGCCTTGATCTAAGAATATAAGAATATTAGCAATTTTAAATGTATGAAGGAAAATAGATTATATACAACACAGAAAATACTGGACTAAAATGGCCAAGACCATAATTAAGAGATAACAAGAATCAGAAGTTCTGTAACTGCAAGAGAACTTTCAATTCAATCCTATTCCGACATAATCAAACATTTATTGACTTTAAGAGGGTTTATTCTCAGCTACATTAGAATAAACTGCAGCCATGTATAAAAGGTATATAAATCTATTAAAATGCATAAAATGGGGAATGTATCTATGTAGAAGCAGGCTAGGATAACTATTTGCACAATGAACATCTGAATCTTAGCTAAGAGAATGTTCTTTAAAAAATCAGTTGCTTACTAAAATATTACATGAACATTTTAAACATTTCAATTTTTTTTTAAAAAAGAGAATACTGATCCCTTTTATATTTTAAAAAAGTATAAGTTTGATTTGCTACCAATTTAAAGATTTTCCAGGATTTTATACTATTTTCCATATAGGCAATAATAACAGTACTACATAAACATGTAAAGGCACTGACAACATGCAAGGACATGTAATTGAAACCCAAACTTACTGTAAGAATGTCATATTCTCCAGCTCCAGAGTATTTCTTAGATGAGACAACACCAGTTATTGGGTCAATAAAAAATTTCCCATGCTCATTGCCATCCTCAATTTTGTAAGATATTTCTGCATTGGGACCTTCATCTTTGTCTGCAGCCACCACACGGTAGATTGGTTCTTTTCTTGCTGTTCTTTCTCTCTCTGGTTTTTCACGTTCAGACAGTTTGATTTGATAAAATTTTTGCAAGAATTGAGGTCGATTATCATTTTCATCTAAAATTTTCACAATGACCCGGGTAAGTGTTGATTCTGCTGGTATACCATTGTCTATCACAGTTACCTAATTGGACAATAAAACAATTCACAAAAGTAAATGTTTCTTCGTTACAAATCAAAGCAGACTGTGACTATCTTTCTATTTTCCCACTGTAGAACTCTCAATATGGTTTCCAGCTGTAATGTCTAAATATTTTGAAAAGTGGATTAAAATGTGACTATCTTTGCTAACAATTTTTCTAATATGAGCCTAGATTAGATCAACCTCTGAAGTATTCATAACTGTCTATGCATCAAAATGGAAAACATGACTTACTTTACTGGAAGCACTTAGAAAATAATTAACACTTTCCTTAAATGGTGCTAATATTACGTTATGGTTCAAAATATATTATTTAACAGTGCTGGAGCTAGAAACAGGGAAGAAAAAAGACACTTTTAAAATGATTCATTTATTTATAGAGCCACCATCTTATGTGCCATATCTCTAGGCAGTTCAAAAACACAAAAGAATCAACAAAAATCAGCCTCCAGAAAATAACTCCTGAGTTCCTAATACAGTGTACCTGAAGATATAAAAAAATGGAATTATTGGGGATCAGATTTACCCTATCCCAAAGCTTGGGGGAAAGCAATCTAGAAGGATGGCGGCCTGACATATCTCATGGAGAATTGGGCTGCTATTTGGAAAACACTTGGCCTAGGCACCACCTATCTGACTTGATGGAGCCAGAGTGGTTTTGCAAATAACCTGGCTCTATGCCATATAGAGTTTTAACTGAGATAACCAATATCATGAATTACACCTGGAAAGAAAATGGAAGTCAGTGAAGCATGCAGCAATAATATTATAGAGGCAACCAAGAGGGCACCTAAATGTTAGATTCTGATCCTAAATCTGAAATCCATTTTTAAAATCTCAGTAATTACCAAATTTGCAAAACTCTTACCCATTTTAAGTCATTATACAAATTATAACCATTTTTTGCCTGAATATATTTCATATCTTACACACACACACACACACACACACACACACACACACACACACACACACGGTCACAGGATTCTATGTCATTCAACAGAACTCTACTGAAGTTGTTAATCCTGTGATGGACTGGAATAAGATTGAATCAACCATATCATCATGCTTATGCTTATTTATATGAATATAGATTTTTTTATTTATATGTTCCTTGCAGTAGGTGCCATGAACATCCTGAGTACAGAATTTTCATAATTGTACCAAACTCTCTTTGTTAGTGATTAAGCTTTTCCTTTTTATTAAGATAAAGATGATGTCTACATTTCTGGACCATACTTTTGGCTGTATCTGTTGGAGAGCTATGGTATCTAGACTGCATTACACTCTCTGCTATGAGTTTTGAGAGTGGTAAGTCCATGGGTGCACCTTCATTTGTCCATCAAACTGAAAGTAAGTAGTGAGAGAAAGGTTGATGAGGTTCATGGTTCTGGTTATTTCAATATTAATGTTAATTGTTAGGTTGGCTATGTTGGGTAGTACTGCTGCCATGAACTCTTTCACTTGTTTTGTGGTTATCACTGCATTCTTTACTGCCATAGATCCAGAACCAACAAAAAAATGATATTAGATGTAACACCAGCAACACCAGTGGCATATGATGAAAAATGCCATTGTAATAGATTTTAAGGTGCCTACTGCTTTTAAAAAATATTTTTCTACTGCTCACTAAATAAATTGTTTCTGATTTGTTATCTTTATAATATACATTGAAACATTTTGCCTGCATATTTCTAAGGCAGGTACCCCACTCTTCTAACAGAGCAGCTGACACCCTTTGACTTAAGAAGACACATAGTGTGTAAAGATAAGGACACTGATTGTAAACTCTTTCTTCATACTCTACCCTTTGTAGCCCTCAACCCCACTTTCTAGAGTTCACTACAAAATCCCGGATTCTCAAGAATGGATCTGACATAAAGGGGACAAATGAGAAGCATGGAATGTTATTTCATTCTCATAAATAAAATAACTTAAGATTCTGATTTATTTTAGAACCATCAGTAGGATATATCAGACTGAATTTGCAACAGAATATGTTATCTGTGCTCATAAGCAAGTGAAAAGGAAGTCAAAATATATCAAAGTGATGTTGAAGAAGAAAATTCTTTGTCAAGGGCTACTTCTATGAGAAAGGAAAAAGGTTTGCATTTGTCCTTCATGGACAAATGTGAAGGAGGAATGGAGAAATATATGCTTAAGTAAAGACCATCTGCTAAATTCACTTACTATGTTGCTACTTGAACATTCAACTTTATTTTTACCACACCCTTCTCAAAGATCTCCACCCCAAATATATTTCTTTGAGAAACAGTAAACAGAATGAACATTCTTCCTCCAAGATCACCTATAGATTTTATGGCTGAGCAGGGCTTGGACACGTTATTACTAACATTCAGAAACTTTGTAAAAAGTAAGCAACTAGCCTAGGTTGCTCTACCACAGTGTTTCCCAAACTTGACAATTTTAAGGCATGAGGACTTCAACTCCCAGAATTCCACAGCCAGCAACGCTGGCTGTGGAATTCTGGGAGTTGAAGTCCACATGCCTTAAAATTGTCAAGTTTGGGAAACACTGCTCTACCATAAATGGCCAGAATATCAAAAAAATTGTTGTGCAACAACAACAAATATTGTTAAAGAATCAAGCAGTGTTATGTTATGAATCCAATGCAACTTTAACTAAAAGTATGTCCATTGAGTCTGAGACAACTTGTTTAGGACACTACTATAAGCTTCTGGAGGTATAACTGGCATAGTCTGAGACAACTTGTTTAGGACACTACTATAAGCTTTTGGAGGTATAACTTAGGTACATAGAAAATAATTGCTTTTTTTTTTCAAATGTTATATATGGAGAAACCATGTATTCCAAGAAACACTGAATGTAATTGTAACACCTATGTACTTACTGGATTTAAAAGACACTATATAACAGATTATCTTATAACCTAATAAAATATAAACAATTGCAAAATATCTTTTTGTTTCAATAGAAACAGAAGTAAAAGGCAGGATAAAGGTTAATAGTAAATAAAAAAATAAATTTGCTAGTTTCTCTGATCAAAACTTTAATGCTAAATTAATTAGCCAGATGCACAGTTTTTGGCTCAAACTGCTTATAATATTGACATCATTTTGTAAATAATTTAGATTTAATCCCACAATGTTTTTTCTATGACAACATAAAACAAAGATATTATCTATTTGATGCACAAAAATAATCTAATAATTCTCCTTAATTCATATGAAGCTACACCTAAATTAAGATGTTATTAATTTGTAGAATACTTCCTTCTCAGATCAACAATGTAAAGATAAGTGAAGAGAGAGAAAGGACACGGAAAGGAGAAAATGATCGGTACAGCTGAAAATAAATTAATCTACAGTTCATCATTTGCAAAAATATAAAGATAGTAAAAAATGCCAAAGTTTGTTATAAAAGTACATGGGATACTATTTCAAAATATTATGTTAAAGCACTACATCAACCTTGAACACTGCTCTAGACAATTTTCCATGTAATTTCTGTTTTCTCATCCCTCAAACTTATGCAGAAGAAAAAGTCACATTATTATTATATCCTGACATTAGTGAACTCAAGGACAAACATTCCAACCTATCAAAATCAGTACTGTAAAAAACAGATTAGAAACACAAGTTAAGATATACAAGAAAATGGCAAGTGAGCACCTGTCCACTTTAGACCAGTTCAAATCACCAGGACCAGATGGACTACACCTCAAGGTTCTGAAGGAACTGGCAGATGAGATCTCAGAATCACTGAACTATATCTTTCAAAGATCCTGGAGCACTGGCGAACTACCAGACGACTGGAAAAGAGCTGATGTAGTTCCCATCTTCAAAAAAGGGGGAAAAATGGATCCAGGAAACTACAGACCTATCAGCCTGACTTCAATACCTGGGAAGATCTTGGAAAAGATAATCAAGCAACAAATCAGCGAACACCTAGAGGCAAACAAAGTCATTACCAAAAGCCAACATGGGTTTGTCAAAAACTGATCATGCCAGACAAATCTTATTGCATTCTTTGACCAGGTGACAAAATTAGTGGACTAGAAGAATGTTGTGGATATACTTCACCTGGACTTCAGCAAGGTATTTGATAAAGTAGATCACAATCTACTACTTGATAAGATAGAAAAATGTGGGTTAGACAGCATCACCAGCATCACCACCAGACGGATTCATAGCTGGCTGACCAGCTGTACTCAGAGTGTGGTCCTCAAAGCATGGAGGGAAGTGTGTGGTGGGGTGCCCCAGGCAATGTTCTGGGCCCAGTGCTCTTCAACTTCTTCACCAATGATTTGGATGATAGGATAGATGGGGAACTCATCAAATTTGCAGATGACACCAAGCTGGCAGGAATAGCCAACACTCCAGAAGACAGGCTTAAGATACAGAAGGATCTTGACAGACTTGAACACTGGGTGCTAGCTAACAAAATGAAATTCAATGGTGAAAAAAGGTCCTACATTTAGGCAAGAAAAACCAAATACACAGGTATAGTATAGGTGGTACCATGCTCAATAGTAGTATCTGTGAGAGGGATTTTGGGAGTCTTAGTGGACAATCACTTAAATATGAGCCAGCAGTGTGCTGCAGCTGCCAAAAAATCCAACACAGTGCTAGGCTGCATTAACAGGGGGATAGAATCAAGATCATGTGAAATGTTAATACCATTTTACAATGCCTTGGTAAGGCCACACTTGGGATACTGCATCCAGTTTTGGTTACCACAATGTAAAAAAGATGTTGAAACTCTAGAAAGAGTACAGAGAAGAGTACAAAGATGATTAGGGGACTGGAGGCTAAAACATATAAGGAACGGTTGCAGGAATTGGGTATGTCTAGTTTAACGAAGAGAAAGACTAGGGCTGACATGATAGCAATGTTCCAATATCTCGGGGGTTGCCACAAAGAAGAGGGAGTGGGGCGTTGTCTTACCTGAACGCCTTTTCTCAGCACGGAGATGGAGAATCCACCAATGGGTTTAGACTGGGTTCCTGCCCAATCAGATCAAGTTAGCCAAACTTGCTCCACCTGTCCTGGACTAGGGTGTCCCAGTCTTGATGTGGGAGAAGCCATTGACTGACAGTATGACATGTTGGTTCACTAAACGTAACCCTAGGCTTAAAGGACCTGCGAGGGTGGGAGTGGATTCTCCATCTCCGTGCTGAGAAAAGGCATTCAGGTAAGACAACGTCCCTTCTCCAGCACAGGAGATGGAGAATCCACCAATGGAACATACCAAAGCCTACTCTGCCTGAGGGAGGGAAGCAGGCCGGTCCGGTGGGACGCCTCAAGGTACAATCTGCCGGAGCACTCTCCTGCCGAAGGAGGCCTCCGCAGAGGCGAATCTGTCCAGTTTGTAGTGTCAGATAAAGGGCGAAGGTGAAGACCACATAGCCGCCCTAAAAACGTCCTCAATGGATGCCTGAGTGGCCGCAGAGACGCAGAGGTAGCTGCACTGTGGGTGGAGTGGGCCGTGACCCGACGTGGAATCGGCAATGAATCAGACTGGTACACCCCCCCAATGCACGCCCTAATCCACCTGCCAATCATGGAGGCAGACACCTTGCGAACCCTGGAAGAAGGGTGGAAGGAAACGAAGAGGGCCTCAAGAGTTGTGGAAGCCCCCGTTCGTTTGATGTAACAACAGAGTGCCCTGTGAACGTCCAGCAGATGCCATTGCCGTTCCAGATCATGAGATGGATTAGGGCAGAAATCAGGAAGCATGATTTCCTGAGCCCTGTGGAATATAGAGTTAACCTTAGGGATGAAAGTAGGGTCTAATCGAAGGACCACCCAGTCCCGGTGAAAGATGCAGAGATCATCCCTGATGGAAAGTGCCGCCAACTCAGATATCTGTCGTGCAGAAGTGATTGCCACAAGGAAGGCGACCTTTAGAGACAAGGATCGCAGATCACACATCCCGAGAGGCTCAAAGGGCGACCTGGTGAGGGCCTGAAGAACTCGTGGCAGTTCCCAAGAAGGATACCTATGTACAACAGGAGGCTTAGTGTTTGTGGCATCTTGATGAATGACCTTATCAACGGGTGTTGACCCAAGGAAACTGCAGTGTCACAGGTAAGCAAGGTGGAGAGAGCTGCAACCTGTCTGCATATCGTATTAGATGCTAAGCTCCTGTCTAGACCGTCTAGTAGGTAGTCCAAGATCCTTGGAATCGTCAAGTCCGATAAAGGTAGGTGGTGTTTTGTGCACCACTGACAGAAATTTTTTCACATGGCCTTGCAGATGCGGTTGGTAGCGGACCGCCCAGAGGCCTGGATCATGGAGATGATGCCTAGTGAGCAGGACTCCTGGGATAGGATCCTGCGCTCAAGTGCCAGGTGGCTAGTTGAAGCCACTGAGGATCCTGATGATGCAAAGTCTCCTGGCTGAGCAAGACGCGATCCAGAGAATCCTCCATGGGTGAACTATGGAAAGGTTCACGAGGCTGGCGAACCATGGTCTCCGTGATCAGTACGGGGCCACCAGAAGAATCTCCGCTCTCTCCTGAAGGAGCTTGCGGACGACAGCTGGAATAAGAGAGGGGGAAAGACGTAGAGCAGTCCCTCCATCCATGGACTCTGAAGAGCATCTGCCCTTTCCGCTCCCGGGGACGGAAAATGGGAAAAGAACCTCGGTAGTTGGGTGTTCGCCGGGGAGGCAAACAGGTCTAAAATCGGTAAGCCAAACCTGTCGGAGATCTCCCCGAAGAGGTCCAGATGCAGGTGCCATTCCGAGTGGTCCACTGTCGACCTGCTCAGGAAGTCTGCCTGTCTGTTCGCCTCCCCTGAGATGTGGTCAGCCTTGATGGAGGCAAGGTTGGTCTCTGCCCAGGAGCCCAATAATTGGGCCTTGGTCATGAGGGCATGGGATCGGGTACCCCTCCTGCCGGTTCACATGGGCTTTTGCCGCCACGTTCTCCGTGAGGACCAGTACGTGATGCCTCGCAACCCTGTTGTGGAAGTGGCGGAGAGGCAGGTGTATGGCCCTGAGCTCCAGCCAGTTGATATTGTGCCTCCAGTCTGAGCAGGACCACCTGTCTTGAGCCCACTGCGAGTGAAGGTGTGCTTTTTGATTTACCCCTGGGTCCTTCAGTCTGACTGTCAAATACCTGCGTTTCTGTCTGCTTCCTTGGCAGAAAGGAGACTCCCATCCTCCCCCCTTTCCACACAGCAAGATTGCAACTCCTCCACCCCTCTGGCAGAACGGAGGTTTCCGTCCTCCATTTTCACCAGACAAGCACTGGGCTCAGTGCTGCGCCTTCCCTTCCTTCTGTTTTTTTGTCAGGGATTGACCTCTTTTGCTGCTTCCTCTTATCAGAGCCTGCGGCCGCAGCTCCAACAACCGCGCGTCTGTGCAACAGCTGTTTCGCCCATTCTGATACTTGCGCTCTATTGCTCAGGCTCCTAGAATGTTATTTGGCCTTTGGGCTCAGCGGCTGCCCCCTGGGCGGTCGCTGGCTTACCCTTTCACTGGACGGTTCCCTGGGTGGGAGCGCGGGCCAGTTCTCACTTGGCCACAACATTCGCTTTCCGGACTTGGCCTTTTCAACGCGGCTGCCATTTTGCGGGCCGTGTGGATTCTAAACTTACAAGCAAGGCACACGACAGGGGAGGGGATCCTCAACCAAGAGTTGTCCAGCTACCTTTAGTTCAGTGGGGTGCGCAGGCTCCTTTTTCTTTCCGCTTCTGTGTGACTCAGCCTTTGTCTCCATACCTGATCACCTCACAATGGGCCATGCCGGACGGTGACAAGCACGCAGGGGACTTCGCCGTCCCACAGACTGCCCGCCATATAAGCCGCGTTGCCATTCTTCACCTAGCTGGCAAGCAACACTGCACAACTCTGAGAGCAGGCTGGCTGTCGCCCCCTCGGGGACTTTGCCGTGGCCGTAGACACGACTGGCCACTGAAGCAGTACTGATCTGTATCATCCCGTTCTTTCTTCCCTTTTCCTTCCCGCCTACACCACGCCAAAGAAACCAGGGGTACCCTCTCGTGCACCTGAGTTTACGTCACCAGGATGGAGGATAACACAGCACCCCTCAACAAGGACACCTTGCCTCCTTCCTTGAACCAGAAAAGGCACAGATCCTCCAACCAGGAGGCCGCAGGTACGATCTTGGCCAAGGCCAAGGCCATTTCTGCAGGGAAGACCTCCAAAACAGTGGAGAAGCATGCCAGCAGGAGACACCAGGCTCTGGAGAAAGAATTCTCCAAAGCCTTTTTGATTTACCCCTGGGTCTTTCAATACACCAATCATTGTTTTTTATCACTGTGACCAATGCTCCAGTAATTCAAACATAATCGATCTAAAATAAAATAATTATTTACAGTATGTCATGAGCAGAAGAGATGGAAACAAAAAAGTGAGGAAAGATCTATCTATAGATTCAGCTGCAATAACCTAAACTATAGTATAGATTAGGATAGGCAACTATTTGTGGGATAGGGGTATATCTTTTGTGTGAATGACAAAAGTTGTATTCAAAAAAACAAAAAGATAGAAATGCAGAAGGGAGTACAAAACCCCAACATGATTTGGAGACCTTCACAATGAAAACAATTTTTAAAATTTATCCTAAAAGTCAACATACGTTTTGGTTTCTCATATGAGATCACACCAAATTCTTGGACGCAAATGTCAGTATCTCAAAGTCATAACAAGATTTCCAATTATTTTTTGGTGGAAAAAAGGAATCCATCACAACAGCATCGAGAAAGGAACGCTATATCTTCACATTGTTTATAAACTGTGGGTCTTACTCACAAATTTGCCTTTCCTTAAACTTCTGCATCAATTGTCTGGATTATGTCACTATACTTAAACTGGTTTTCCAGAATATGGTGGGAAGAGGCTGGGGGAATATGACTGTTTAAATACATCGACAAAGCTTTCTAATTATGAAAAAAATCCCAAGAGGAAGTCATGGCACTGTTCAGCTATATGACAGCATTCCAAAACTTCACCTACAAGTATTCTTATTTAAAACAGTGGCTGAATTTAAATAAATAGGTGTATAAATATCAAGGAGACAAGTGGCCTATAAATAAAGGACTAAGTAAAGACTGAACCAATAACTGGAGGAAATACTGCTATCTGCGTAGCATATGTTTTTAAAGTTGTATTAACATATTTCTGACAGGCATGAATGTCATATCTTATTTTATTATCCAATGATGCAAGAGGAAAGTCCATACTATATGTATATATTCAAACCACACTGTGACGTTTCTCTGTGTCATATATGTGTGTGTATGTTGGTATATGCATAATGGTATTTTTTGGAGAGCTGAATGCAACAACATTTCATTTTAATGTATGCTGATTAGTGTACATTTAAAGTGACAATAAAGTTTCTATTCTATTCTATTCTATTCTATTCTATTCTATTCTATTCTGTTCTATGAGAAACTTTCTTTTTTAATTCACTTCAGTGGTTGCAGAAGGAAATAAGGAAAAGAATAAAATAGATTTAAAAGATTCAGTGAAGATGCAAGACATGAGTTCCATTTCTGACATCTCCAGTTACTTAGGAAGCAGGATTGGAGAAAAGAAATTGTTAAAAGCTACATGCAGGTAACAAAATATCTGCAAAGAAACAACCAAGCTCAGCACCAAACACACTGCAAGCTTTTCCAATCTTCACTTTGTGTTAGACTTCATTTCCCAGCCAGTATGGTCCACTATCCGTGAGACTAAACTTCAGCATCACTCTTCTGGATAATACGGGCTTGCTCGGGTTGTTGTCTGACTTGTCCCATCTTTTCTTTATTCTTATCAGTGGATTATTTTATTGTTTGGTGTTATTTTTATCTACTGCCCAGAAATGCCATGATATTCAATAAAAGTTAAATAAATACACCTGAAAAGTTCCAGGCTGGGGAATGCTATATAAGTAACATCTCTAAATTAGCACGTTTTAACAGATTTTAAAGTGCCGCTGGATGGCAAGTGCAATTTTGTCTTTAAACTTCCCAAGTGAAATTATGTACTCCTTTAAAAGATTCATTTATTTTAATATACTTTTTTCTTTGCAAATCCCTGTTGTTTTTGGTGAATCTCAAATATTTCCCTCTGCTCCTCGAGCACTACAGCTTTTACTGTAAGCAGAATTACTATGAAAAAAAAGAAAAGAAAAAGAAAGCAGCCAAAATGTATTTGATGAATTGCAACATTAATCTCTTGCTGATCAGGTCTGCAAACAGCTTACTGAGCAGCCTTCATCGGATTGTCAAAATTGGCATGGCTCTAGAACAATTGACTAAAGAATGGCACACAATGCATTAGTTTAATGTAATATATAATAACAGCTCAGTGTTGTATTGCTGTTTCACAAGAGTAATTGAATTTGCAAGAGGTTTTACTGGGATCACTGCAATGGCAGGCTGTCCTGTTCCAAGTATAAATGGACACAGTGAAGCATAATAATAGGAAGCAAATACTATAGATCATACCCAGACAGGCAGTTTGCATGAAAGAAATGGAAGCTGATTTCCATTTCTAAAGTTCAACCTCTCAAAATTATCTCTAGCTGGGTGAGCATCTTGAAGTGTGCCAAAAGGAATGAACAGATAAACAGATAATTAAGACTGTAATGCCTGTAATTGGAGACTTGGGGATGGAAAGCTGTCTTATGAAAAAAAACAACAATCACCTTCCTCTCAACAGCCACATAGGGACTGGTTAAGCCCAAACTTTTCCTCCCAAGAAGTGAAGAGGGAGACCTAGGATTTAGAACTGTCTCGATTCCCATTTATTACACTCTTGTTGCATTGGTGGGGAAAGAGCAGAAGGGCAGAAGTATTTAGTAGGCTATGTTGTGCAGAAATACCCCCCCCCCAATAAGCAGAATTATTTTGTGTAGAAATGTACTAAGAACACAGCAGCATAATTTACCTCTAATATATGTTCTGCTTGCTGTTCTCGGTCAAGTTTTCTTGAAGTTGTTGTAATTAGACCTGTAAATATATATATAAAAAATCAACTCATTAGCCATTATTTGGTATGAAAAGGAAAAGAAAATATTATCAACTGCAATTTTATAATCTCATTTTGTAACAGAAGTATTGTATTAGTCTGTATATATGTATTTTCTGAGCTGATTTAATATTTGATTCATACCTAACATACTTAATGCTGTGATAATAAGCAAGAAAGTCTTAATGCTAATGGCAGAGTAAGAGAAGACCACTACTCTTGGCTATCTTTTCCTTCCCATTGGATTTGTTTATCATAACCTTCACTTTGTACCTTCATAGGTCATCTATCTATTCATAAACTCAACATTTTCCTTTCAAAAAGTTGCCAGTAAATGCTGATATCATCTGGCTAGACTGACCATAAGAATTTTTCTTTATTCCTAGGATCCAAATGCAAGGATGTTTTATCTTTTTCTTTCCTGCATTATTGAATTTGGCTGATTCTCCTGCACACATTTTTTCCTGGACAACGTATTTGAGAAACACACACATCCACAGAGTGCAATGGTATGTGGGAATGAATTACCTTGGAAGACAGGCAACGAGATGCAGCCAAGGGAACTGTCAGATAAAAAGCAGCAGGTCAGGCAGAGGCAAAACCTTGCCTACGTTTTTAGGCTGTAAAGGGTACTGATGTCAGGCTAAGGCCTAGAATGAGGTGGAAGAATTCAGCCAGAGTTCAGTTCTTTATTTGCTTACACATAGCAAACAGAATCTTGCCAGACTAAACTCTTACTCCACACCCAGCTAATGATATAACTTGAGAGATTTAGGGAGTGGCTATCCCTACTCTTTTCGTCTTCTATACAGCTATGGGCTCTGTGGCCTAGTCTCCCTCCCCTTTCTGGAATGTGCTCCCTTCTTTCTGGAAAATTGCTGTTTCATTGCAGTCCATCAACCCAGCTCCTGTTCCATGGTTATCACCTCTTACAATGCAGTTGAAAGAAGCTCTTTCAGACTTGCAAAATTCTGTTAATGTAAACTTATAAAAAGTAGCTTTAGCTCATCTGATTATGTTTGCTGTCTGGTCTACCTTGCAAGGCTAATATAGCCTTTACCTTTTTAAAGTTAATTTGTTCATTGTTGCATATCTCAAACAAGTGACTCTGGGCAGCAAATAATAATAAAACAATTTAACCAGTTACAACATAGTACTCAATTGATATATATGGCAGCTGAGGAAAAAAATAATCATACATGTCAATATAGCCAGGAAACAGAATCTTGGTGGCCGAAGCATGAGGACAAAGCCATATATTCAAGACCTTACACAAGGCCTTTAGAATTGTGGTCATCCTCAACTCTGAAGGGAGAAAGTTCCAGAGGCAGGGGCTAAAGCATAGAAGGAATGACTCCTACTTCCTGCCAACTGACACTTTGGCTGATGGGAGATGTAGCATGCAAACCTGCTGGACCAAATTGTGCATTTTCACATAAGAGTCATTGATACTTAAGGAACCTACATATGATTTTCTTTTATTTTTGTAGTAAAAAATGGCCAAAGTCAGTCATATACCAGAACTGTAGTGTTTGTTTAAATATAAATAACTATGCAGCAACAGATACAGAAAATGTAAAAATGTATTTTTTATCTATTCTGATAACTTATAATGCTAGCCACCGAGAGTCTCCCCAAACAGTGAGGTGGGTGGTACATAAATTTAATAATAAATAAATAAAATAATTCTGTATTTGCCCTGTACTTTAAAATGCAATAAACTCCATATTTTCTCAATGTTTTCTGGAATAATTGCAAAACTTTCAGATTACCTTTGTGTTCTCTGTCTCAGGTGACCACTTTTTATCATTTAAATGTATTTTTAATATAGGGAAGATTGCACTGGCAAATATAATAATACCATAAAAGCATGAGGACTGGATTTACAACTAGATACTTAGTTTTCATGACTGAATGGAAAAATTAGGATTCTTTAAACATATGAGGATATTTTTTGGTTCCTGAAAATAGTGAAATCACAGTTCCTATTTATCAAAAGTAAACATTTTGGGCCTTTGGGGATTGCATCTAATCCTAGAATCATGAACTGCTCTAGCTGAATATAATGAAATGAAAGGTAATATTTTGGAAAAAAACTGCAAATTATAAACCTTTGAATTACTTTTTAAATTAACTGGAATATGACAATAATATAATTTTTTTTTAAAAAAAATAGAATTTTCAAATTATCAAAGCAAGTAGAAAAGTTTATGACCGAGGCTAGTCAAACTAATCAAAAACATCTAGATATTCAGGATAGACTCCATTATTTAGTTATTTATCCACAAGAACAGCATAAGTATTGCTATTGACGAATACAATTAACTTTGAAGCTTTTTAACCTGCAATTGGTTGATAACCTTATTCAAGATAAGAATGCATTCTGCAGAGAAGTAGGACCATATACAAAAATAGAGATGGCAGCTTTTAAACAGAAATTTTAAAATCAATTAGTTCTCAGCCCTCTGGAATGCAGTTGTGTGTACACACATTCACAAGACATTGGATTTAGGAGAGTGGAGAGAGCCAAGTAAAAATCCAAATCTTCCATGGAGCAAACTAGGTAACTTTCAGCTAATCCTGTTCTATTAGCACAATCTACTTCACACAGAGCAGTTGTTTTAAGAGTCACTATGTAAGCAAGTTTGATTATTTAGAGAAAAAGCAGAATATAATAGTAAAATAAATGAAAAAACTAACTGCTGTGAATTTAGATATGCATTATGGGGATGGGCAATAAATGTAGCCTGGAGAAATGATCCACTAAACTTTGTTCTATCCCTTGTGGGATGGAGGTCATATTAAGTTTAATGGGGATTTAAAAATGTATCTTTTTCTAAATAAAAGAGAATAATTTGGCTATTATATCTCATTTGAAGCACAGATGGTACACATTTACGTTATCTTTTAGGGTTCTTTCTTTGGATACCAAAATATAAACAAAGAAATAATAATGACATGTACAATTTGACCAGGACTGTGGTCATCTTCAGTTCAGCTGAATGCTTGGATAACTTCAAAAGAGACAGAGAAAGGAGCATGATGCTGGTCTTGTCTTTTTTTTCCCTCTGACCTCCATACATTCAGCTGGAGAGTGTAAGGAAAACAAGCTGCTTAAAATTCCAAATCATGTTGGGAAAATTTTCTGAGTGAAAAGAAACTTGGGTAGCTTTTTTTTTAGCCTCATGATTTCAGACTTTGTCCAGGCTAAAGTTCTTCATACCTCCAGCTAAAATGTGAAGACAGCTTTCCCGTTTATCATTAAACTGCCCTTGTGCACTATTAACTATCAATAGTGCAATACACTGCGCTCAAATGAATGCTGAACCCCTAATTAAAAAGTGCTTTTAATAGACTGGTATGGAACATTCACAAAATAGTAAGGAAACAGTGAGGATAGGCTCTCAACAGCTGTATTTTAGAGCCTGAAAGATAATTATAAGACAGCATTTGGATACACTTTCAGCCTGTCTTTTTTGACCTCTGTACTTCTGGCAGGGCTATTTTCTGATAGAACAGATTGGACATCAATTAGCATATTCCACCATCTGGCATCATCTATAGTATGTTAGCACATCATCTTAAGGCTGTCTAAGAACATTCTTCAAAATCTACTCTTTTCCTGCATTTTTACGTGCTCATTCTTGGAATCAGTTCCAACTAGAGCCAGGGGTTCTCAACCTTGTCAACTTTAAGACTTGTGGACTTCAACTTCCAGAATTCCAGATAAAAGCTATGCTGGCTGAGGAATTCTGGGAGTTGAAGTCCACAAGTCTTAAAGTTGACAAAGTTGAGAACCCCTGAACTAGACAGACATGGTGAAAATATGTGATGGAAAAATTCATTTTACAGACAATATAGCAGTGTCAACACCAAAAGTAATATACTTTGCTTAGAAGTATAGTTGTTTCCCTCTATGTGCACAAACACATAGCAAAAAAGAGAGATAATGGTATATTATAAAGTCAATCCAGTTATAGAATTACAATTTTATTAAAAGAGTTTTAGAATTGCCAGTTACAGAATGTCTTTAAATGGAAAAGCCAGAGATATGTTTCTGGAAACCCATTTTAGAATGTTCTCCATTTTAAGCATGAATAGTTCTATTAGGTTGTCCAGCTTAACTGGAGTTTAAGTAAGTTCTATTGTAACACTCTTATTGGAAAATTTAGACAGACTGATTCTACAGCCTTAAAGCAAATTACAAATATTAAAGGGCAAAAAATGCAAGTATTCTTAAGATAATATTATTTCTATAATGGTCTTCATGTTGCCTTATCTTTAAATAAGTTTTCCTTAACTGAATACCTATTATAAATAGGCTTAATGAGTTACAACCTCAATCATACTGACATGCAAAGGCCTGCCTTAAAGTAGAACTTGTGAATGAATAAGTGAACAACAGTGCCCTATGGGTAACAGATGGCACACCTACTTAGCACAAAATCAGTAGAGTACAAGCTGGCAAACTTGTTTGATTGGTATGTTTGTCAAGGAAGTCTCCAGGACTTCATGTGCTAGATCAAAGGTTACCATTTTAGCTCATAGTTGGTATTTTTCTGTAACAGTCATTATGTTATCAGCTGTCAGGAAACATAGAATTGGTTTCAGCAAAACTACAAAGTACCGGCATTAGAGTGCATATGTGCCTGTACCAGACTACTTCCTCAGTCTCTAAGCAGCATTAAGATGTTAAGATAATGAATCTGCAGATTTTGCAAGAATTAGACTTTTAAGTCATATAATGCCACATGAGAAGATGGATCCAGATATTGGCTTGCTGCCCAAGAACAACACATAATAAAACTTAACATTCAGAATATAATAAAAGGAACCAGCCACTCATAGCTTTACCCACTCACTACAAAAGTCTTTTTATGGGCACTTTATATATTTTTAAATGAATTCTCAAACAGCAAATAAGAATTTAATTGTATAGAATTAAAGTTAATTTGTATATTCTAAAAACAAAGGGTGTCCTATTCACAATACTGTAAATATTATTACTTGAACAATATTGTTGCTTGAAAGGGCAAGGCAGACATTTATAAAAATATAAATTGAACAACTTTTAATAAATATTTATTTTCAAATAAAAATGACAACTGAGGACAACATTTTTGGAAGGATAAAACTTCAACTAGATACTACGTATATAGTTATGAGAAATGGTTGACAGATTGGACAAAATTTCAATATTTTATTACTTTATTAATGTATTAGTTTTTGGATGAATCCCCCACATGATTTTTTTTAGCAAGTGTTGTGTTAGAGGTCTTGTTTTATGAATTAAATGAAAATTTCACTTAAACTGACCTTATTTCAACAGTTCTGCTTTAAAGCTAAAACAATATATAGCACTTCAATATTCAACTGATTGTCTTGATCGTTTCAAAAAAAGGAATAGCTTGTTTTAGGAGAGTAAACTTCACTTTGAAACCATTATTTTTTACATAGGGTTAGAGTCTTTGATTTAAAAAGAAGGAATTGATGGCAAGCCATGAATGCTTTGCTGATCAGCATGACTGGCTTCTACATAATTTGTTCTACAAGTTGTGGTTAAAACAAATCCTTGTTTCCTGTGATATGAAAAATAAGCCATTACCTTTTGCCAAATTTAATTCTAAAACTGAACTATTGAGCACTTGTACTGTTTATTAAGTCAAATTTTGTTCTAAAGCTAATTATATATTCTTTAAGCAAAAGGGCAATTCAGCCCTTTTTCAATTTCCCCATCTGTACATTGTTCTACAATTATATCCAGAAATTCTGATGAGACTTTATGTGAAATTTCTTTAATCTCAGTTTCTCAATTTCATGTACTATTCTGTTGCTTAACTTCCATTTGGTTAAATTAACAAGGGCTAGGAAACCGGAAAGCTCAAAGATAAAGATCAAATGTAGTTGATGGCTACTTTTAATCTATTTGATTACTTCATTGTGTTTGAGAATCAAGATCATCTGACTCTGAGGTTTGTTTGTTTCTTAACAAGAAAGGCACATACTTAAACAAAATGCACCATATAGCTTAGTAAAATAAAGCTCATTTAGATGAAATATTTTTACTTCTCCACTTTTGTTTATTATTTGAAACTAGTATACTGTATTATCTGAAACTAGTAATTGGCAAAAGACTATCTATATAAGACTTCTGATCTAATGAAAAGCCTGGACAATATTAAAATATGCAAATTAAAAGGTAGATTTCCTTGAAGACAAAGTGTAAGTTGTACAGTATATGTGTCCTGAATGTGGGCAAGGGAAGAGAAAATATTTGCCTTGGGCAAAGCTCAAAGACTGTAAGTCCTAAATACCTTTCTAGGACAAACATGCCCACCTAGCTGATGTTAGTAGATCCTCCAAAGCTAAGCAAGTCTTTGGAACTTGAAGTCTTCCTTGCACTCACACTTTCCTAAGTCTAAGTGCTCAGTCTTCAGATGAGCCACCTGTGTTAGCCAGGAGAGTTGAAAGATGATAGCAGAAATATGATAAACTGTCTGCTGTTATACTTTGCATTTTAGATACTGGCAATCCAAAATTAATTCAAAATAGTAATAAATCCTTTCATTTATAAGAATCTTGTGAGAAGCTGATTACCAACAGCTTAATTTTTTTGCTAAAAATATGCTAGGATCCTGTTCATAAAAGGTGAATGCCATGTAATAATTGTTAAAACAATCTAAAGACATCAGTGAAATGAATGAAATTATGTTCTAAAGTCACTTTTTAGCTTTTGAAAACAGGAGATAAATTGGTCAGGCATTACAATTACAATTCTCAAGGTTTGGAAATATTAGAAATAAAATACATTACTTAGCAAATGTGTATGGGATAGCTCCCCCCCCCAAATGATAACTCTAATCCTGAATAGTCTGCTGAAGAAAGACTCACTGATAAGTGGACTACTCATATATCTTTTTAAGATCTTTTACCCACCTTTGGTAAATGGAACAATAATTAACAAAATATGAAGATATTTTTATCAGTATGATATGGATAATTCCATTGTTATCATACTGGAAAGATCTGAAACCTATACTGGATTCTATAATCTTCTCAATCACATTTAACAAATCTATGCTCGAAGAGGAACTAAAGAGCCTCTTGATGCGGGTGAAGAAGGAGAGTGCAAAAGTTGGCTTGAAACTCAACATTAAGAAAACCAAAATCATGGCATCCAGCCCTCTCAATTCCTGGCAAATAGATGGGAAAGAAATGGAGGAAGTGACAGATTTTATTTTTCTGGGCTCCAAGATCACCTCAGATGGGGACTGCAGCCAAGAAATTAAAAGACACTTGCTCCTGGGGAGGAAAGCTATGGCAAATCTAGACAGCATACTAAAAAGCAGAGACATCACCCTGCCAACAAAAGTGCGTATAGTCCAGGCCATGGTTTTCCCAGTTGCAATGTATGGCTGTGAAAGTTGGACCATAAGAAAGGCTGAGCGCCAAAGAATTGAGGCCTTTGAACTATGGTGCTGGAGAAGACTCCTGCGAGTCCCTTGGACTGCAAGGCGTTCAAACCGGTCAGTCCTAGAAGAGATCAACCCCGACTGCTCTTTAGAAGGCCAGATCCTGAAGTTGAAACTCAAATACTTTGGCCACCTAATGAGAAGGAAGAACTCACTGGAGAAGGGCCTAATGCTGGGAAAGATTGAGGGCAATAGAAGAAGGGGACGACAGGAATGAGATGGCTGGATGGAGTCACTGAAGCAGTAGGTGTGAACTTAAATGGACTCCAGATGATAGAGGACAGGAAGACCTGGAGGAACATTGTCCATGGGGTCGTGATGGGTCGGACACGACTTCGCAATTAACAACAACATGCTCGAATTAGATTTTCTGCTCTCTAATTGAGTGTTGATTTAGTAAAACCAGCTGATGCAGGCAAGCCTCTAACAGCACTGTGTCATAAGAGGCAACCTTTAAAAATTGTTCAGAATTGGCATAAGCTTATTAATTAAAGCTGATATTTATCCCAATTACACCTGTGCTGTGTCAATGCAATGGCTCCCACTCCTTTTATGAAAGCAGCATGATATGATTCCAATGCTAAAGTGCCATTCTGTTGTACTACCTGGAAGATTGTATTTTCCTGTATGCATCTTCAAACTTCATACTCCAAGTACTCCAACCAAATTCAGGATAACAACTACCAGAGTCAGAAATGGTACTGCATATTGCATATTTTTCTTACATAAATATGGCATGATGTGCACTTTCTTGTGTGTTATGGGTTGATACACTGGGTCTGAAAATTGTGTTTTGTCTGTTTAAATTCAGTTTATTTTTTTAAAACTAAAAAATAAAGATAATTTCCTCTGCCCAATTGTGCCCAACTCTAGGGGATGGTGCAGATCTCCTTTTCCTAGCTGAGAGAGCCAGTGTTGGCAAAAGATGCTTCATGGTATAAGGCCAGCATGACTATACATTGAATGCTGTTACCTTCCCACAAAAGTGGTAGTTATTTATCTACCTGCATTTGCATGCTTTCAAAGGCTAGATTGGCAGAAGCTGGGGTAAGAAAGGGAGCTCACCCTGTCTCATGGTGCTTGAATCTCAAACTGCAATCTTTTGGTCACAAAACCATGCACCCTGCGGTTCACGGAAAAACCTCTCTCAACAGAACCAGTCCCTGGTGTCCAGAAGGTTGGGGACACTCTGCTTTAAGAGAAGCTTAAATCAAAGCTATATCTTTTACTTTTATGTGGCACTTTCATTCTAATAATAAAATAAATTGATTTCATTTCTTAAAATTCAAGGAAGCAGAATAGGGAATATGTGCAAAACCTTCCCTTTCAATGAATTTGACCCCCAGGAGAAGACAAAGTACATTCAGAAAAAAATAACAACAGAGGTGTTAAAAGAAAATAAAAACACTGTTAAATCAAGCTCAACTGCTGATGATTTTGTGGAGATACCCAAATATATGCATTAATTATTTTTATTAAAATATTGTCATCACATCAATTTGCTGTTGTAATCTCCTTTGTTTCTACAGAATTCTTTTTTCCCCTCCAATTTTATATTCTGGATGGAAACAGAAGTTGTATTTAGTAGTTTCATTCTGTTTTGGAGTTTGGGATCATTTTTCACAGAAACTAACTAAAAACAAATATAACATAAGAATATAATGTAACATTAATAATTTACAAAGAGGTAGTCCTTGGTTAACAATAATAATTGTGACTGGAATTTCCTTCCCTAAGTAATGTGATTGTAAAGTTCAATGACAAGTAACTGCATTGTTTAGCAACAGCAATATGGTAGCCTTCAATTGCTGATGTTAATTGAATCCCACCAGTCATTAGGCAAGGCCCACCCTCATCCAAGCCAAACTGCCCCTCCCCCTCTGATTAAGATGATTGCCCGGAGGCAGTCATAAATATAGGTGGCCTGGAATTTTATTTACATACCCATGGAATCAGCGCAACACCTGAAACTTTGAAGATCAGTAGTAAATTCCTTTGTTCAGCACAGCTGTAACTTTGAATAGTCACTAAATGAATGGACTTAAGCAAGGATTACCCGTACGTATTTTTTTGAATGAAATGCCTAGCAAGTTTGCTAATCATGCTTGTAATAACAAAAGTTACCTGATAATTCATCAATCTAGTTCTGAAAGCTTTCTAATATGTCTGATGTAGAAGATTCATGTATCATGGAAAATTCTATAAAAAAAGTTAATTACTTCCTAACCAAATGAAAGACCCAAATAATGAAAAAAAAATATCCTCCTACAAGACAAATGAGTAAGGCACGGAGAAATGCATAACATGAATCAAACAGTTGCATACACTGTTCATGCCATATTTCAGTTTAACCCACTGATTCCTTGACAAAAGGAAAATACATAGCAAAAGCTGCGTGAAATGTGATGAGATTGCTAGATGGGATGGTTCAAGGGCCTAAACAATAAAATACTCAAATAGTTATTTATTTTCATGACTGCATTACCTGTACAGAATTGCATCTAATCTTGACCTGGAGGGCACCTTACCATATGCACTTCCATATACTTGTTTCCTATGGCAAATTAACCTAAGACATTTAAGTCTGTACTAATAAAACAGTATATATTGTGAAATAAATACAAGCCAACCAGAATTCAAAAATAGCTGAAAATAAGATACTTTAAAGTCATCCTCTGAATTTTATTCATAACATGTTCAAATATAAGTATCTGCCAACATTCCCAATAAAAATCATTTTCTCTATTGGACCAATATATAAATCAGTTTTGCAATAGTAGTCCTATTATTTTCCACATATTCTTCCCTACAGTACATATTATCTCTCAAAGTCTCAAATGATTTTCTCCAATTTAATTTCTATTTAAAAATCCAAATAATTAATTTACTGATGTAAAAGTTCACAAAATAACATCTGCCAGCTACTTACCAGTTTTAGGATTTATGTGAAAGAATCCTTGTGGATTTCCACTACTAATCTTGTAAGTGAGCTTTTCATTAGAGCTTGAATCCAAATCAAAGGCTTCAATCTGGATGACTGAAATATCCTTGGGTGAGTTTTCCATAACTTCTGGGTAATAAACGGGCTGAGTAGTTTGTGGAGCATTGTCATTAATATCCTCGACTTCTACGTAGATTTCAGTGAAGGAAGACAGAGGAATAACCCCTTGGTCAGTTGCATAAACTGTTAGCCAGTAGTGAGAAGTAGTCTCTCGATCAAGCCGATCAACAGTGAATATTGTACCTGTTTAGAAAGAGATAAAAAACAATGAAAACTCCTTTGTATGAAGTATCAGATAAGTTTTTAAATGCTTTTTTCCCTACAGGACAGGTCAAAAATATTTCTGCTATTCTGTAAAGAAAAAAAAGTATAATGTTCAAATCAATTAATTACAGATGGGAAGTAAAATGCAAATCATATTTAGCTAATTATTATGAATCAGCATTATGAGAAAAAAAAACCAGCACAATTAAATGTACATATAATTGTATACATCAAATATATCCCAACTAATATTTGACCTGCAATGATGCCTACCTAGGCTGTCAACACAATTGATCCAGTCCCACTTGCAAAAGCAGGAAACAAGAATCTTAATGTGTAGTGGTACTATAAACAGATTGCAGATTTCTTTAGAAACTCTGGGGTTAATTCTCCTCAGTTCTTCAGGAGGATTACAAACTTGTGAGGTAATAACCCCTTCATTTCTCTGCCATGGCTAACAATTATAGCCAAAAGTTAGATTAATATACTTTGCTAATAGATCTCATCTGTGTGAGATCTTCTCCATAGAAAGGAACCCATGAACCTCAATCTTTCCCCTTACAATTATCCTGTTGATCAGATTTAAACAATACCAGTTCAGATGCATTAATGATAAAATTTGGATAAAATTTCTATTAGCTCAAGCCAAAGCCATAGGAATTGTCTAGTGAAGGTTGATTGACAAGCAAAGCCTAAAATCAGGCATGGGAAATGTGCTCTCCTCTCAGGACACTTTGACCCAAGATGAAGATGCAACCTTTTGGCTTCCAGAAGCTTTTAAAAGCTTTGTGTTCTAGAGAACATTTGGGACTTTAATGCCAAGTCTTCCGAGAGTTGGGATTACATACTTTTTGCAGAAATTATATACAGTATTGCTGTTATTTTATGCAGTATTACTATTACCATATTGGCTATTACTGCTTCTGTAAAGAGTAAAACTGACTACAATAGTTTACAAATGTACAAATTAAATAAAAGTGAATAAATTAAACTACACATTCAGAAGATCCAGCTATATCTATTCATTAACAACTAACCATTCCCCATATTTGGTTTTCACTAAGCTGCTTTGGCAGCTCAATCCCAATGCAGTAACACCAAAGAAGAATTAATTATCTTATTGGTTAATATATTTGAAGTGTTCCCAATTCCCAAAAAATCTGACCATCACGTACTGTATTGAGTTACATTCTGATCAGAACTTCTAGTCGCCAAGGACTTCCAATTAGGCATCATGGCATGATGGGTGCAAGGAAGATGGGGCTCCGTACTCCCTGTTCAATTTTGTCCCACTAGGGACCCTAAAAAGGGTCAAAAGTTGCCCTGAAGGAGGGGACCATAGTTGATCACAGAGGGGCAGTGGTTCCTCCATTTTATCTGAGGAACTTGGCTTGAAGCCCAGACTCAGGTAAGACTTTGGTTGTCCTTGGAAACTTTCACTTTTGAAGACTATAGCTGGGAAAAGAGGAAAAAACCTCTTGGCCTGCTTATCTGTGCTGGGGACCCTATTGGACTATAAAGACTATGTACAAAAACAAAATGAGTGTTCCATACTTAGTCTTAAATGATAAAAAATCATCTTTAACATCTGTCTCTAAAGTTCCCAGCTTGATATACCAACAAGAAAATGTTAATGAAATCTCAGAAAGAAATTCTATGTTGAAATCAATCCAAAAGACAATTGTTTTACTTCATGATGAAACTAAAAATAACACAAATGAGATAAAAAACAATTTTCTAATATAAACTTACAAATCCAATGACTTCAAAGAAGGAACTAGTAACCCAGAAAACAGAAAGAAAATTAGAAGAAATGGATCCAAAGATGGAGGACCTAAAGGAAGCAATTAACAGACAAATACAGACAAATGAAAAATTAAAAGATGCAGTGGTAACACCGGAAATGGAAAAGATGTCAATATCTCAGAACACATTTGAGGATAAGAAAGAAGAGCTGATCGAACAGATGATAAAGCTGTTAGGAGAAATGCTGAATATTGACAAACAAGAAATGAAAACAAAAACTGAAGGAGAAAGATAGAGGCTGTTTAATGAATATAAATGGGTTGAGCCTTCTTCCAAAAATACTTCAATCAAATTCTCTTCCTCATTCCAAACAATATATACAAAAACAGAGGAAGAACTACTTGATGATTTAAACGTACTGACTTGAAAAGTTATTTGGCAAAGGAAGAAAGCTAGAGTAAGACTGAAGAAAGTAGAGGTTTTGACTTATTAGATGGGATATTATTCTATCAAACAGATGTTTGAATATGGTTTAGAAAATAGATAACTGTTAGAAATAAAAGTATTATTACAATTAAAAGGATAGGATTTGTAACCAGAATATTATATTTTGTTATGAAATGGGAAATATGAAAATTCTAAAAGGGTTTGAATAAGGGAAGCCTTTGGTTACCCAAATATAATTTATTATTGAGAAAATTATAAGCGATAGAGCTACTTTGAACACTTAAGAGGAAAACAGGATATTGATTGAACAAATGATTTTAAGTGCAAATGCAATTGAGATGTGTTATAAACTGCCACTATCAATATTATGTACAATACCAGAAAAATGTGATGAAGATGTCTATATTTAATTGTATATGTATTAACAGTAACAAGAATTGTATCTGCCCAGTGTGGAAAAATGCATAGCACCGGAAGAAGAGAGGATTAAGGAAGCACTGGATGGTGTAGTATTGGACTAGACTGAGAAAGTTAATATGTACCACTGAATTACCAATGGACCAAGACAACACGTTGCTTATTAAGTACTTATGATTGTAAAATTAGAAAATTAATAAAAAAATTTTTTTTTAAAAAAAGAATTTTTAGTCACCAAGACTTCAGATCTTTTTTCTCTTTTTATTCCTTGCTATATTTGACAAAGAAAAGAGAAGAAGCCACTTAATACAAAGAGAGAACAGGGATAATAAGCACCAGAATTAACATTAACTCTGAACAGGGTGGATAATAATCAATGATTTTTTTTAAAAAAGAAAATCCTATAGTTTTATATTTAAGATATACATTAATAATTTAGTTTATTCAGCATGAAATGGAGCTTTGTTCTGTAGCATGAGGTATATTCTGCAATATTTACATTTTTGGTAAACTCATTCAATGAATCCAAGCTCTGCAAGCTGAGATAACATGCACTGCACTGATGCTTTCACACAATTTCATAGTAACCATGAGATAAATCATAAAACAAAGTTCAGGAATATTCCTTTATCCCACTGTTGTGTAAATCTATGTACATTGAAGAGAAATGCATCTGTACCAGGTTTTAAGTGTTTTAGTTAAATAAAAGAATTTGAGTATTTTTCCAGCTATGTGTGATTAACTGATTAACCTAAAATCGGTTCTGATATTTGTTTTACTAACTTGACAGCTTATTATTCTAAATAGGAAACATTCATTTTGTTTGCAAATAATATTAAAGATTCTAACTACCAGCAAGAATGAGTCCTTATATTTAAAGACCACCTGTCATTTCAGATCCATCATGGCAGCGCCTGTTAGTGGGCATCCATTCACCTGCTGCCCGCCATGTCCCTTACCTTGTTGTGTGACTGCCTCATCACCAGCCGTCCCATTAAAGTGAATGGGACTGTCGGTGAGTCAACAGTGGGTCAGAGGAGGAGCTGCTGTGGGACAGAAATGACAGTTGCTCTTTAAAAATTATGATTTAAATCAAGTTGATTTAAATCAAATCCACCAACTCTGAATGGTTAGTTCAATTCAACCCCAGAACCTTTAAAAAAATTGTTTCTAATCATTTACTTAAAAAATCCACAAAAAGAAAACCAATTATCATACTCAGTTTTAAACAGGTTTAAATTGAATTCAGTTTCAAACGTTATTTTAAAAATGTCTGAATTACCACCAGATGTCACTGTAGAAAACATTTATAAAACTAGTAGTGATGAAACAATATGAAAAGCAAGTAAACCAGATATCATTTTATTGAAGGAAAAACTGCTAATTGCTTTGAATCAAGAAAAGCCAAGTTATTAATGCAGGTCAAATTGTCATTTATGTAGCACAACTGTAGACCATCTACTGTAGACTACCAAATAGAAAAGCCTTTACATTCTATATACAATGCACATATATTATAACTGATATAGTATTATACTGGCAGATTTTCTTTTCTTTTAGAAATTCTACAAGGAAAAGAGAAAAATGAAGAGCATTTCAGAGATAATTGAAGCTAGCAGGTATTGTCTGAATGAACTTGAGGGAACTGTGTTAGGACGTCCATCAGCACACCAGTGAACAAATTATCATCTCTTTGATACACATAATATTTCCAATCAGTCCAGTCAATTTGCATTTTTATTCATTTCTTGTAAAGTAATTAGTTTCTCTCTCCCAAATGAAGAAAATAATGTTGTGGCATAGGAGATCTTAACTGATCGGAAAAATGTGCTATAAACATGCCAGAACTTTTCCTGAACTTTACTTTGATCAGAAAGAGTATGGTAGCAACTAATTTTTTTAATTTTATTAAAATGCAAAAGCTTAGTTGGAAAAGGTGGTACCAGACTCCTCCAGTTTTTTTTTCCTTTTCTTTCTTTTTTGCTGCCACAGCTCTTCTAGTGTTTACAATTTGATCTTATCAGTGATGCTGGCTTTATCCTGAGAAAGCCAAGTCATGTTGTAATCCAGCCAACTCAGTTGAATCTTGCACAGAAACTATGACTCACTTCTAGCAACAGACCCTGCCAATTATGTACTGACAAATAGCAACATCCATGAAGCTATTTCATGCAGAAGAGTGGGAATATTCAGTAGAGAGATCCATATGATCAGCCTTATCCAAACATTTTTAATATTCACACCTATATAATATAGCAAGTTGCAAAGGTACCTCAATTTATTTATAGTGGTGCTTAAAAGTTTGTGAATCCTTTTGAATTTTCAATATTTCTGCATGTATAAGACCTACTATGTGAGATGTTCTCCAG